GATACAAACTGACAGTGCTCGGAATAAGTGAAACCCATTGCACCCAAGAAGAACTAAGAAGAAAATGCTCCGCACACTCATTGAGTTGCTCTGATGCTGTCCAAAGAAGCACGTAAAGGACTCATTGCATGGGAACGAGAATGATGAGAGATTTGTAAATTTATGTGCATTCAACAAAATGGTTAAAGGGGTATTAATATTCCCACACAATGCTATATAGGTCATACCGGATCACACTGTAGAAAATCGGATCAGTCATGTTTGTATCGCTAAAAATGACAGCATTTAACAACAGCTGAACAACAATAGAAAACGTCAAGGCACAAGCTGAATACACTGAAGAAAACAAGCAAGTGAAGACGAGCGTTGGAGCTGACAGGCAGAAATACGTGGAAGACCTAACAACGACAGCGGAAAAAGCTGCAACGAAAGGGAATATGAAACAACTATATGACACAACGAAGAAACTGACAGGGAAACAGTAAACCGGAGAGACCAGTCGAGGACAAAAAAGGCAAGACCATCACCGAGATTCAAGTACAGAGGAAAGATGGGTAGAACACTTTGGGGAACTCTTGAATAGACCAGTTCCATGAACTCACCGGACATCGAAGCAGTACACACAGACCTTCTTATAGATGTCACTCCATCAACGATCGAGGAAATCGGGATGGCCATCAGACAAGTCGACAATGGGAAGCCAGTCCTAGGTTTTCACTGGTGCAATGGAATCTAGAAATGATTTCAATATAGTGAAAATTCCCATTTCACCATTCGTTAAATAAAGAAGGGACGAATTGAGCTTAATTCGTTCCTTTTTTATTTACCAAATAGAAATGATTTGTTGATATGATAAAATATGTCTCGTACATATACGAAACTATTTCTCGAGAAGCCGTTGAAAAATGAGCATCTTAACAAGGTTTGCATTAAGCCCACTTTGCACTTTATAGTCCCGATATTGACGTTTTCTTTTTTTAGGGAAGGTTATCAGTAGGGTTAATATTAACGGGAAGAATACAGACAACCATTTTATTATCGTTGCTTCCAAATTCATTCTTAACATGTACGGATGGGGGAATAGTAAATTGTAGTAGAATTAGTTTGAGGATGTAAGCATGCCTTCCTAAGGTATAAATCCAATAAAAGCAACAGTGGATATATAGTATTGTTGAGAATTCCTCATTACTCCACGGACTTGTCACCAGTAAATACTAGGATAGCTGAAGTCTCCTTGATGGCTTCCGCATCAACATTTCAAATACAATGATGCATAAGTGCATTAACACTAAGATCATCCACAGTGGCTGAAGTGTCTAGGCTCTGTATACAAAACTCATAAGTAGACTATGGATCGATGTATTGACCGAGATCTAAACTAATCTTGATAAACTGATGAGGATACTGTTTTAGGATACATTAGTTATTGAAAATTTCAAACTCCTCCTAGAGCCCCTCTAAAGCTACTAGTTGTCCTCTTAAACATACAGGAGGTGAATTTGACAAGAGTTTACCAACTTCATTCCTCAAAAAGAACCTTACTATAAAAAAACGCTAACCACGCAATCCAGGGTGTGCCATAGACAGCTACCCCACGTTTTTCGATATAATCTTGAGAGAGTAAATGCATATGATGTAAGTGTTCTTTTTATTCAAAATCAGATTTTCAAGTCTTTGCAATTTATCATAATGACTAAGACATTCATTTCAAAGCCGAGTAATAAATACCAAGTGCACAACACTATGAAAATGTGTGCATTATTCATGAAATGTTAGATAAACTTATCATCGATAATGTTAAATTTATAACAAATTACAGAAAGAATCCACTCAGTTCAATGGATGATTTACTTTTGGAATTCAATAGATTTATGAATAAAAACTTGCTAGACCGGAGTAGATGAGCTTCCATCTAGGAGTTGTTTGCAACTAAAGTTAATTACATGATATAAACTGTTTTTATCAACAATTTAATAGATAACCAGTCATATAATTTTGACATATAAGAACGTCCTTAGTATTAAAGAAAGTCTCTACGTGAGACTAACAGAAAATGTTCTCTTTTCCCCATAAACAAATTCTTCACAAGTTCAATCACCCATTAAAGACTAGTAGATACTCTAATTAGGATTAGTGAAGTAATTTAAATCAACATTTGTAGTACTTATTACACTTTATCAAATAAATCTGTTTTCTTTCGTTTATCTATATTTATATCTCGATAGCCAGATGATATTTGAATCAATACTGACCAAAGATCAAGTCATGCTTTCCCATTTCAATTGTTAGAAGAGCAAAAGAGGCAATCCGGAAAATAACCGACTCTGTCTGATACAGCTAGGCCAGTGTCAGAGGTTTTCAGTTAGGTTTCATGGCACAGTACAAGCTTAAAACATCTTTGTCATTCATCCGCAATTTACTACTGACTGGAAAGTCAGATCATACATGCTGAATTATACAAGTTGTCAATGGATTATGGTACGTCAAAATGTTAGTTTGATTAATCTAAACAACGATAGAAATTGTTAATAAACAGACTTATTTTAGATAACCTGTCGTATGTTCAGTCATGGGTTTTTCTAATCACATTCTGAAGTAGTCCTCAAAGCAATGTTCATTAGTACTCCACACCTTTCATGTTACAGATATTGTTTCGACAGATGCATCAAATATATCTAGTAAGATGGTCTTCAATATTAAATTCGTGTCAAGATAAATCTAACGTATATATATTTACTTATAAATCCCCAGGATTTTGAACAAATGATAATCGACAAAATTGACGACCTATTATTATGAAGAATTCCAATAAGTTCAATTTGTTTACATCTCTCGTCAACTTAACCAACTGTATTTGTGTAAGTACTTTAACCATCTGAGATATTCAAAACGTTTATTGAAACCTTGGAATTTTAAGATGGTGTGGAAACCAAATAAATAATAATAATTTTTAGATTCAGGTGAGACTTTACGTAGCACCACAATGAAACAGACAATAAGTAGAGTTCACAATATGCACTGCGTGTATTTAAGTTAGGAATCAATTTCGCGTTTGTCAAGCACTGATATTTTTAGGGTAGCTTTCAATTACCATTTCATTAGAATCCATTTGCTAATCAGACATTAGGAGACCAAGATGTGTCTTACATTAAAAACCATTTGATAGTTTTAGCGCTGTAGTTCCAGCAATTTTTCGAATTCTTGAACATAAGGTTTATACACAGAAGTGTACTCATTGAGTAACCTCATTAGTAAAAGTCCAATCCCGATCATAAGCTGTATAAATCATATATCTAGCTTCAATCCTTTCAAACAAAACACATTTTAATAGTTGAATTCCATAGTTATTCTAAGCTAGACCACCACTGAGTACTTAGAAGAATTGGACGGCCCCTTCGTCCTAATCTGGAACTCCTAAGCTCTGCACACCCACGATCCCGCACACAGGACTCGAACCTAGATTTCTCGATCTCGCGCGCGAACGCTTAGCCTCTAGACCACTGAGCCGGCATCCAACAGTGTTAGTATCTAACTTCAATCGATCCATGATCTTACGCAACCCTTCATCCATTGTCTGTGCTTCCAGGTTTTCAATGGTGTTCTAGTTTAGATCATCTCATGAATTCAACTATTAAAATTACTACAATCTACACAAATCCCTATTCTGATAAGAAACAAGTTTCGTAATAGATCTGAACATTCTACGATTTATCACAAAATACATAAAACAGCTTACAATTAGAACAAAACGGACAGTAACTTACCTTGCAATGGGTGACTAGAATTATCTTGACCATCATTCAGATGAAAGAAACTGATTAACAAGTGTATTACTATTATGTCTATCGATGTTTAAGAGTATGTTATTCATATGCAGTCAAGTCAACCCATGAACATCTTCATTTGGAGATAGATGTACAAGAAACTTGACAATACTCACAGTTAATTATGCACTTCAAAATGGAATAAATGAGTAAAAATACATGCAACAACTACGAAACCTAGTAGTACGGACAACATTATATGCACCAACTAAGAAAGTTTATTGAACAATGGGTACTAATAAAACTATAGAAAGTAGGATTATAGTATCCAACGCAGAGTCGGTTATCATATCTATAAAATCATATTCTTTCACAAATGCATAAACTCTTTGCAGATTATTTCAAATTGATCATCGATGACATAGAACCTTAACAAACCGGAAATCAGCATTTCTGATTAATTCAAAATAGATATAAATATTTACATGCATATATTATTTCAGTATCCACTTACCATTACGTTATTTCAGAACAAAGAAATAAGCTTCCATGTTGCACAGAATATTTGACAATGAAAGCTAATTACTTTACTTTAGACGAGTTAAAAGAAACAAAAATGTGCTACACTTCTAATAAGCTGGCAGACCAGCAAGCTGTAACTGTATTGTGCCAAAATATTATCAATGAGTGAATAATCTATTGGAATAAGTTGTCATAAAAACACAAATAAACTGTTCACCTTTAAAGAACATTTCTTATGAAATTCTACAAAATATTCGTTGTAATACAATTAGCAATTTAGGTCAAGTTAGCATTTTTAGATAGCAATGAAATACATTGTTTTTTTTGGAAATAGTAAACATCGTTGTTAATTTACCAAATATCATTTGCAAAATACGTTTTATGCTAACACTATCTGGGATTCTCGAAAAAAAAACAGTATCGAAGTAAACATTTTGGCATTTAAAGAGAGCATATAAATCAAAATATGTGCAGGTGACAAGAGGTAAAGTCATTCAGTATATTAAAAATCCAATATTACAACGTACATTGTATAAAAAGTACACAATCTTGGCATTTAAATATATCATAAGCAATTATGTTAACCTTGTAGAAAAATAAAAGGTTAATGACAGTGCAAATATAACTTGACTTTGGAAAAAGTGAAGCGAATTGTTACAGGAAAACACTTCAACTTCTATAATTAAAAAACCATATAATTCACCGACAGTTTTCTTATTCACGATTTTCTTCACCCTCATTTCTCAAATGTGAACCCATGCTTTCGATAACAGGAACCTCTAAAGCTGAAGGTGTACTTGACACTGAAGAATGATCAAATACATCTGGATCATAAACAGTGTGATGCTGTAGTGAGTCCTAATACAAGTCGAAAGTAGATGAATCAGGATTTTAATTTTGATACTATGCTAACTAAAAAGTCAAAATTATGAATTTTGAACAGCCGATAATATAAAAATTTCAAAAGTAAGATATTATTTTTCGTTTTCATATTGAACAACATTATAGAAAAGGAAAACAAACAATAGAAACGAAGATAATGATTGGAACAAAAACTTAAACGTGAGCCAATGCTAATATAATGCGTGGAACAACTAAGGGTAGAATAACAATTACCACTGAACAAGATCAGACAGATGCTTACTAATAGATTCCATATGATCTCATGACTCGAACTACACTCTTGCTTGAAATAACTGGTAAAACTAGCCACTATCACTAACTGCTTTTGGCTATAAACTATACTTTCAATAACTTCAGTAGAGTAGTAAATGAACCTGTCATTCTGTTAAATAAACAACTTGGTTTTTGAATTATTATTAGCTCGTTCTTGGTGATTGTAAAGCAAAGTAATATTTTTTTTTATCAATAAAATGAAACTATAAAGTATCGGCTTTTGAAAACTATGGTGGCTTATTTAATTCAGATTGTAGATATGGCTAGTGTCTGGCTCTCCTGCAAGTGGGATTGAGCTGTACTGCTCGGGTTAAGCCTGGGCGGTGTTTGGCTCTCCTGTTAAACGGGATTGAGCCGTACTATTTAGGTTGTCACGTGAAGGTCTGGATGATGTCCGGTTCTCCTGAAAACCAATGTAAAATTACCCTGACCCACAAGGGTATATTATATAATTGTATATATGGTATAAACGGTTTTCAGTACACGGGATTACATAAATATACATACATCCATTTACATCTATTTACTTCAAAAATCTTCCAAAATAATGACACGTAAAAATATTTATTCCGTCTTTGAGCAATTTAGTTTATTTGAATATGATGGCATTTGGTTCATTAAAAACTCGACCTGTTCAAATAAATTATCCATATCTTGCCAATTAAAATTTGGAATTTCATAACATTTTCTTTCCCAGAGGCACTCACAGGTTTGAATCATTTATCATTTACACAAACTAGTTGCCAGATGGAATCGACAACGTATTTAATTCTAAAATAGTAAAGGGAATTTCCTAAACAACAATAAAAATATGAGCACTAGGTTATGTGAGACAAAAACTCCTAGAAATGTTGTTTCGCTTTTAGACGTTTGTTAAGAGGACCACTGATCATAATGAATTTTGTTTCATACTAATACACGTTTCACTTTCTAGCATTTTAATAAAAAACTGACTCAAATGAAAGAATACTATGCTTTTCGAAATTTCTGTACCAATCGAAGTGAATTAGCGTATACGCTTAGTTTGCCTTAGAATGTTAGACTGGTTCTAACATATAAGAACGAAAATAAGTATTCAAAGATTACGTGGAGAAACCACTCATATGCTGAAGATATGATGAAGACGCAGTATTAACTTGGATCACTAATTCAAACAAATATACAGCAAAGTAATTAACTGTCAGTGTTCAATATTCATGTGAATCCCATTGAAGCGATATAGCAACTAAAACATACACACTTGCGCCAGCTTTATCGGTGTCTAAAGCTGATCAAATCACAAGAAGTACAGATGCAGAATTTTCATGAAGTCACTTTTAAAAAACATTTAATTTGGGAAAAATATATGGCAAAATATTGACTGGAACTATCACAGAGAATGATTTGATTATATAATTCTTTTGAGATATGTGATGTTAGGCTTCGTCATCACCCAGTTTGAAAATAATCTCATTTTGTGATTAATCGAAAGACTCATAAAACGACTGGACAACAAGCTTGAAGATTAAAGCAGTTTATACTTCTCAAATAACCGAACACAAATGAAAAAGTGCCAGTCAATACTTTAACAATTAAATACAGAAATATAAACAGGTAGTGATCTCTGTGAGAATTACTTGGACCCTGATCAAATAAAAATGCGATTGTTGAATTGAAATCAGTAACACTGTTTTGATGTTAATCAGTTGTAAGTAGTTTGGCAGGAAACCCTTTGATGTGCAATAACTTTACACCATGAAAGAACAATATACATGTAAAAAATATGTAAAATAAGGATAATAAGATATTGACAAATCTCAAAAAGTAAAGTTTGTCAACACTATCATCTAGTGTCGAAGATGTTTTTCATGCTGTCGTCATATTAAGAGCCCACAAAATAAAAATTAAATAATCCAAATATTTGATAAAATATATTCAAAGTTTTTGGCATAAACCAGTCAACGGAAAAAAAACATTTGAAGAGTTTTATGAAACGAACGACCAGAAATACAAAATATGATTTACACCTTTCAGGACATTTTGTATCTTAAACTGAAATTAGATATTATCAAGACGTACATCCTGAACAAACGCTTTGATGAAGGTATAACTTACGCCCGTTACTGCCAGTGCCAACCAGCATTCTCCAACCCACTCTGTCCTGGGCCTTCCTTTCTAGTTCTATCCAATAGCTGTTTATTCTCATTTCTGTCTCGATTTCTCGACGTAATGTGTTCTTTGGTCTTCTTCTCTTCCTCTGACCTTGAGGATTCCATGTGAGGGCATGCCTTATGACACAGTTGAGTGCTTTTCTCAACGTGTGTGCTATCCACTTCCAACGCTTCTTCCGCTAGGATCTCGTTTGTTCTCTCCCATAGTAGGTTGTTGATGATAATGTCTGGCCGACGGATCCTAAGTATTTTGTGAAGACAGCTGTTAAACACCTGTATCTTCTGGATGATGGCTTTCTTAGTTCTCCAAGTTTCCGCGCCATACAATAGAACTGTCTTGAAATTTGTATTGAAAATTCTGACCTTGGTGTTGAGTGACAGTTGTTTTGAGTTCCAGATGTTCTTCAATTGTAAATATGCTGCTCTTGCCTTGCCGATCCGCGCCTTCACATCTGCATCAGATCCACTGTGCTCACCAATGATGCTACCCAGATAAATAAAGGTTTTTACATCCTCCAAAGCTTCTCCGTCAATTGTGATTGGATTGGTGCATGCTGTGTTGTATCGGAGAATCTTGCTCTTCCCTTTGTGTACATTGAGACCTATTGCTGCTACACTGATCGTCTTCCGCATTTGTTGTTGCGTGTGCGATAGGAGAGCCAGATCATCTGCGAATTCTAGATCGTCCAGCTGCATCCTAAATGTCGACTGTAACCCATGCTTCCCCACAGATGTTGACGTCTTTATGATCCAGTCGATCACCAGGAGAAAGAGGAAGTGTGAGAGTAATTAACCTTGCCTGACACCGGTCTTTACTTCGAACGAGTTTGTCAACTGTCATCCATGCAGGATTTTGCAGTTTAGTCCATCATTGGGATTCCGTATGATATTGACTATCTTCTCAGGCACTCCTTAGTGTCAAATAAGCCTCCATAGTTTTGTCCTGTCTACACCATCAAATGCTTTCTAGTAGTCAGTGAAGTTGATGTAGAGTGATGAATTCCATCCAGTTGGTTGTTCCACAATGATCCTTAGTGTTGCGATTTGGTCTGTACACGATCGATCCTTACGGAATCCAGCTTGTTGGTCTCGAAGTTGGGCGTGTACGGAGTCCTTTATTCTGTTTAACAATACCCTGATGAAGACGTTTTCCGGCATGGAGAGAAGAGTGATGCCACTGTAGTTATCACAGTTGCTGAGATCGCCTTTTTTTGGTATTTTGACCAGAAGTCCTTCTTTCCAGTCTTTTGGTAGTTGTTCCTCATTCCAAATCTTATTGAAGAGAATGTGGAGTATCCTTGCAGTTACCGCTACGTATGCTCTTAGTGCCTCTGCTGGAATGTTGTCCGGTCCTGCTGCTTTGCCACTCTTGATTTGTATGATGGCCATGCTGATTTCTTCGATTGCTGGTGGGCCAACAGTGATTGGGAGGTCCGTGTGTGCTGCTTCGATATTGGGTGTGTTCAGTGGGGCTGGTCGATTCAAAAGTTCTTTGAAGTGTTCTACCCACCTGTTTCGTTGTTCCTCAATGTTGGTGATTACCTCGCCTTCCTTGCTTTTCACTGTTTGCGCCGGTTTACGGTGATTTCCATAGAGTTTCTTTGTTATTTCATACAGTTCTCTCATGTTTCCTTTCTTTCAGGCTTTTCCACCGTCGTTGCTAGATCTTCCACATATTTACGTTTGTCAGTTCTAATGCTCCTCTTCACTTGCTTGTTTACTTCTGTGTATTCAGCTTGTGCTTTGGCTTTCTCTGTTCTTGTTCGGCTGGTATTGATTGCTGCCTTCTTGTTCCTCCTCTCTTGAATCATATCCAGTGTATCAACAGTGATCCATTCCTTGTGATGGTGCTTCTTGTGGCCCAGAACCTTATGACATGTTGAAGTGATTGCAACAAGTGTTAAATACTTATTCACTTTTTTTATCTCCAAATTCCTATTTATATACAAAATATGTTTGTTATCAGGTTAAGACAAAACATTCTTTAAACTAATCAATACAACTTTCTTCAACAAGTACATTTTTGCTTTAGGGAAATGAACAATCCAGTCTTAACGCAATTTATCAAGGTAGTTGGTTGTCCTACCTATCAGCATTGATAAATATTCCCGAAGGAATTATATAGGAATTAAGTCCAGTAGTTAAACTATGCCCTTTTTCTTAGAAAATCAAGGATTTTCAATATGGTATATAAACTACTCAAATAATAGTATCTACACGAGGTTGCATACTATGTATAGTAAATATCATAATAGCTATGAAGTAATTACCAAATAAATTCCTTACCACTGAAAGATTGCGTTTCTTCAAAGAACCACCAAGAGTAAAGTTTGATTTGGATTTTCATTTACACTCATTGATTAGAAAAGTGTTTACTGACAACTTTATGCAGACCGATATCACCGTCTGTACTGCTAAAGGGAAGCTGTCGTCTGTCAGTTATTTCACTTTGAACAGAAGCAACATCTACATCTGTGTCATTCGATACTGCAGAAGAGAGCCGTCTACTTCTAGGACGAGTAGTCACGTCTAAATTTTCATCAGTGAACAGATCCCGTGGTAATGCTTGTAGACTGGCAGATCTTAGTAGGGGAGGCCAAACACCAGCTGACCTGTCAATTTCTTCTCGAATTCGCTCATAAGCTTTGCGTTCCACACGTCTTGATTAGATCATAAAGGTAATACCGTGTTAAATATTTTGAACATTTTAAAAACACTTTACACGATAAGTGAACATTATAGAAAGTATTCAAAGCTTTACACGTTTTCAAAATTAAATGAAAATTGAGAGAAAAAATTACTTTACAGTTAGTATTTCATCATCGCTGTGTATTATTATATATATATAGAATAACTGCAAACGGAATTCACAGTTTCCAAATGAAAAAAGTCAATGAATACAGACATTAGATCTAATAATATCATGAAGTTATTTTGATCAACAAATTTCTTAGATGGTCGACGAACTCCAGGGAATCATTTACATTGTACCTAAAAATTTCTCTGTTTAACGCCTTGAGAATTTATACTATCCAATTCGCTGTTGTAAAATAGTCTAAGTTATTCATATCTCTGACGGGTCGAAGGAAGATGCATTTTCCTCAGACCATGTAACTTCAGTGTTATTATTTCTACAGGTTTCAACATTTGGAATATGTTTCCGAAATAAAAACTTTGCAAGGAGTCTATTAGTTGTTTCCAGTCATTGAACAAGACGGCTAACCTGTACCTGTAAAATTGAAACTAGTCAACGTCACAGTATATTCATCTTATCGAAAATTAATTGGTTTTAGAGATTTATTACTTGTTTAAAATGAAGTATAAAACACTTTAAAGAAGAGTATTTTAATAGATCTAAGTGACTTTTTTGCAGTACATTAGTTTTCTCGCCAAAATGCTAAATTTATAAACTAGATTCTGATCTGTCAGTCAGCTTATATAGTGTTGATCGTGTGAGCGATAAATCTGTACAATATGCGTCAAGTTACTTTGAAGCATTTTCGATTCCAAATAAAAATTTCTCCTGTTATTCACGATGAACAAAAGTGTTTCACCTCGGTAACACCTCGGCAACAATAGAAACAACAGGAACTATGAGAAGATTCTCAGATTCGTGAAATCAAAATTACGCTATTTCGCTGTTTATTGGTCTTTCAGAGAAAATAACACGCTTCATCGAAGACAGCCATAAATTCCGTAATGATAACTCATGTACATCATATAAATACTGTCCAAACTTTTTGATTTCACACTAAGCATCTTTTAAAAAGTAAAAATAAATTAACGAATATGAAATACCCCTACTTCTTCTTGATGCATTTATCACATGAATCGAAGTCGTACAAAGCTACTATGTATGGTGTGACTAACCTTGGAAATAGCGCTCGACGAATGCGACGTATACGACGTCGAAAAGAGACTCCATCAACAATTGATTCAACAATATAACTAGCCATAAAATTCGCCAAAACCATGGAGTGTAAAATGAGTATGAACCAAATAGAAGGAATTCGGACTAACTACAATCGATAAAAACAATTTCAATATATGCGACTCTGAAAATATCCTCATATTTTATAAACGATTTTCATTGTAACTGAAAACATAGTGACTGAATATTTTAGTCTTCTTGTTTAATAGTTCTAATCTAACTTTGCAAATAATAAATCATTTCAGAGAATAGAATAAATACAGAAATACCATTGACTATGTGGCTATCAGTATAATGTCGATTGCCCTATAACAAAATCTGAATTGAATGAAAAGAGGAAAAACTAAACTCTTCAAAAATGATTTATTAAAGAAACTCACTAGAAAACATATTTCATTACCATTGATTTAAATAACAAATGGTTATACAACTATAATAACACTTGAACAGCATTCCATTATATCAGAAATACACTAGTGGATCAAAACGGTTTATTACACATGGTTTGGAAAAAGCCTGTTCGGTCGAAAATCGAATAAAAAATTACGTATCAATGATGACGTCTTACTGTCATGTTGTTACAGTCAGTCAGTCAGTCAGCTACAACGTAGGACCAGGCACATGTATACATCGGCCCAGGTTGCCATACCTCATTAGCACAGCAAGATGAACACTGGATTCATAGGAGTGGTTAGGTCAAAGGTGGTAATATATAGGAGAAAGATTGCAATAAGGATATAGTATAGGAAGAAAGAATTAGTTCGTAGAAAGAAAGATGTGAAGTGATCTTAATCTCTTAGTTTAAGAGAAGACAGAGAGTGTATACACCGACGCCATTGTGATCGATTCTGAGCCATGTCACCAAGGGTCTCCAACCATTGGTTACGAAAGTCACGCGGACCCCAACCAAGTAGTCTGCATCTACCAACATGGCTCAGACTAGAAGTTAGTGACTTCAGGCACTGATGCCACGTTTTGGTTTGGCCGCCCCTAACTTTCTTCCAACCATCCCCTACACCGGTTAGCATTGCACGTCGCGGTAATCGGTGTTCAGGCATACGTAATACGTGGCCCAACCATCTCAGTCGATGAAGATTCATAACCTCATCAACTGATTTACCATCATTCCCTAATACTCTGCGTCTAACCTCACTATTACTTACCCGGTGATCCCAGCAGATGCCAGCAATATTTCTAAGGCATCTGTGGTCAAATACTAGTAGCTTACGGGTGTCTTCTACTCTTAAGGGCCATGTTTCGCTGCCGTAAATTAAAACAGTGAAGTTTGAACCTTTGGTCACGCGAACAAGAAAGTTTTTGTACAGCGTGATAAACAATCCGAATGTCTATCTATTACGTTTCAGGAATTCACTCATCAAGACATGTATATATATATAATTAAATTGACAAAGGGTTATGCACGTTACAAAGTGGAACTTTAATTAACATTCAAACTTCTTTGTTTGGTAAAACAAAATTTTATGTTTAACTGCTTTAGAATCATTTCAAAGGGTTACTTTAAGCAGCTAACATTACTATTTTCGAACACGAACAAAGGTATTGGGTGAGTTTTATCGGCATAAAAATACTTTCTTCTGAAAAACAGATGAGCCACGTAAAAAGGGAATTCTTCATGACAATTTAAATATTCACTGGTTCAAGATAAAAATTTTCACAAACAGAATTCACCAACATTTTGTTTGCTATCCAGTGAATAAATACATAAATTTATGCAACCTTCACTCGTTATGTCAATTCAATGTAACCACAAAAACAGTTTTCATTTTGAAGAAATGTAGTAAATCATTTTATAAGTAACATAAACGTCTTAATATATATTTAAAACAAAAAACAAACAAACAATAAAGTCCTTTAAACTAAGGTGTTTAAGTAATTTAAATGAGGTAATTTTGTCAAAAAGACGTTACATCAACTAGTGATGAATGTGCTAGATCACATTCTCTATGAATTAATTATTACGAAATTCTACTTTCATTGTCAATAATGAATTGAAAGATTATTAGCAAAACGAAAATATAGAAGATACCAGGTTTAGACACGATTTGAAAATTCACAAAGTATACCGTTAACGGTAATGACCTTTTCGAATCGGTAATATTTAACAAACATTTCAATAAGGAAGCAGAACTGTAGATAACAAAATTTTTCGAGAACTAAACGCGATATTTTAAAATGGAGACTGGTATAACAATTCCTTTTTTTAGGTAGAAAGAATTGGTTGGAAGGATCAAAAATGTATACAACATAGGAAATCGTAGTCATATGACGTATGTGTTAACACATGCTGAATAGTATGGTTTTAAGAAACAGAATGAATAATAATGTATGCTCAACATGACGTAATTACTGTAACTCATCATCCTAGAGATTAATGATCGAGTGCTCAGAGCTATGATTGTTGAGTACAAATACCAGCTGGAACAGTGACTATCCATCAAATATACCAACACTTAAAACATAACAGTTTAGCAAGATGAGAAGAGTGTTTTATTTTTTACTGCTAAATACAATTTAGAAATGACTGAAAGGCAAAGCTCACTCAAACAATGTTTGAGATTTCAGAGTGATATTCTTTATTGAAAGTAAATATGAACAGTAAAACTTAGCATATTTTGAGCACAAAGCATTCTTCCATTTACAATAAAAGATGAATTTTATTGGTGACTGAGTACCATTTGTGCATGAATATCAACAGTTGTATGAGAAAATAATAACTTATTCATAAATTACAACAATATGAAATTTACCTCCAAAAAACAAAACCTTATTTAAAAATGGTGCTCGTCAATCATTAAGAAACAGTATTAGAATTCAAAGCAAATGGTAATGGGCAAGTGATGATTCATAAACCCATGCCCCTACCTAACACTACGGATTTCCATCACTGTCAGTAATGTCTGGAATTTATGGAACATACACATCAATATTTGCCCATGAAAAGTGGGATCTGCTTCATCACTTTGTCTTGTGGGATCTGTGAACATACTTCTAGATCATCAAAAGGAATATTGTTTGTGATTATGAGTAGTGGTGGGCAAAGAAAGTTGAGAACTTGTAGAAAACTGACCCGGGTCAACAAGGGAATGGGTACGAAAAGCTAGTTATTTGTTGTAATATTTCGAAAAAGACAAAACTGAGAAGATCGGAAGGATTAGCAAAAGATTGTTAGGAACAGTTCAAATAGCCTCCAGCTATTCTTCAGTTACACACTTTTCATAAACAACGTAAATGAGAATTAAGCAGAAGTCCCCCAGATCTTAGTGGGATTTAAAAAACCATTCCTAACTTGGAGTAGGAGAGACCAGAAGAAATTGATAAGTCAACTCCAGAAGTTCATAAGCATGGTTGTTTAGTTTTAGCACTTAAGTACTAGCCAGCGACTTGGAGTTGGATGTAATCCCATGTAACCGGTTTTGATCTCAGATGAGAAGGGACTGAAATTCCTTTGTGCAAAATTAAGAGGAATCGGATTGACTGGCATGGTGTCTTAAAATATTATCCCATATAATCATTCGGTTTTAATTTGCAACCTATGAACAGCAAACTGAATAAAATTAAACTAGTTTGAGAACTAATAATCAATGTATCGGTTAAATGTAGATAAATCACCACGGTATGGAAAGAAAAATGCCGAATTTAATTGTGTTTCTTTACTTCTGCTAACCATAGGGCCAGTTTACGGAGTGGCAGTCTTTTCTGAATTGCTCTATGGCTGTGATACATAGCCTATAAAAGTAGAAGACATGCATAGGCTACAGACTTTTGATTTTGATTATCTTCGTTTCAGTGTTGCATTTTAATGGGACGATCGAGTGAGCAATAAAAAGGTTAGGCATAGAGTATAAGACAAAGATATCAATAGGTCGATAAAATTGTAGATCTTCATCGAATGAGGTGGCTGGTATACATATTTCGTATGAACAGCTATCAACTACCTCGAACTCCAATGTTATCTGAAGTAGGAGTGAACCAGACGAAAGTTAAAGGCTGCCAAACCTAGACAGGGTGTCAGAAAAAGAAATTATTGACTGTCGATATGAGCATTGTTTGCAGTAATGGTAAGAAACGTTGGATAAAATGGTTCAGAGTTAGTTACAGTGGAAAGGATCCAATCACTTCAAATTCTCTAGGTTCTGAATCTCAGTATTCCCTCAAATATAGATTCCCACTCAGTCTTTCCAAACCAAGTTCTCAATATTTAGTTCTACTCATTACCATTGATACTACATTATCGTTATAACGGAATAAACATCAAGAAAAGTTGAACTTTCGGAACGATCCTATCTGAGGTTACTGTTTACATTTTGGTCGCATGATTATTAAATACATAAACTGTTGTATTTTGGTATTCGCCAAATTACAAGCTTTGACGTGATGTATAAAACAATGTGTTGTGCGTTTGTTAAACTACTATTACTTGATTAAGGACCAATCATTGAGATTATATTTTAATTTCTTAGTAGTGTTGATATGTGGTCAGGAAGCAACAGTATATTGTATGATTCGACGTTATCTGTTTGCTGCATTGTGTTCTATTCTGGCTATCAGGTGAGCGAGAGTGAGAATCTCCATTCTGTGTCAATCTTCGTTAAGTTTTATTGTCGCAGACTTTATGCTGATTATGACTGACCCAAATAAAAATTATAGCCGGTATTGAAACCAAGTTACTTGTATACTACTTCAGGTGAAACGCTAGTCTTCCATAAACTTACTTGTAAAAGTTCAAGTATCCAATTAACTGGATAAGTTGTCAAGTAAAGACTCAACGCAAAACACATCAAAATATTCAGCACAAATGCATCTATTGAAATAAAACACAAGAGAAACAAAAGATCAGTGTATTGTAAATCTTTATAACTGTTTAGAGATCAAACAAGAACATATGTGTGTGAAGTAAATCGTGGAATTATTCAAAAGTGGATACTATAGTCAAACACGGATTATATAACCATAATTGGAAATTCGAATAACACGCTGATTAGTAAGAAGCAGCCAGTTTATATTCATCGAATAGTGTTTTAAAACTATTGACATAGTAATGAAATGAATATTTCATACAATTAACTAGTCCGAGTTACAGATGTAAATTACTTGGTAAATGTTATAATAACTAAAGAACTACTAAGTCCCTATGAATATAATTCAAAGAAACGTTGTGCGACGGAAATAGCTTAAAAATGCATCAATTCAAATGATGTGAATTTTCCCAATTCGTTTGATGGAATAATTTCTACCTGAACTAAGTAGTGTAGCAACATCTCTGCATAATAACCTAGAGATAAAAAGAAACCGAATCTAAGATAAAACCGGATAATTATATACTAATTAGTTCCATTGGATAAAGAACAGCAGACAAGTGTTAACATTATCATCACAAAGGGATCGTTGTATGTTAAATTGTAAGTTGAAATCTCAATACCGCAGTGGTACACCCAGTAAATTCACGTTTTTAATACCTAACAATCTACGTCATTAATAAATATTTATGTAAACATGAACAACTTACAATTAGTTAAAATTGATTTACGATATGGTGCTCCTTTTGAAAAGGCAATGGCCAAAATTATATATTGATAAGTGGAGACTATAAATACAGCCGCATTTTCGTAGTTCTTATACTCAGCTGTATTAGAGTACGAATATAACGGCATATACCTATTAAAAGAATGATCAAAGAATGGTAAATTTCCTCAATGTTACAAACAGATCGAACAAAAATTTAAGAGTAAATGATCGAAGGTTTACGTCTGTGAAAAATAAATCGACCAATAATTCAATACATTCAAAAACATTTTTCTTACTTGGTTTACACATCACGCCATAAATTTTAGGAAAAAGCATATCACATAAAGGCAAAATGCATGCATGAAACAACTTCAATCAAACGTCAAACTCTGCTTCCGTTCAGTTTGTAAGCTAAGTTCCAAGTTTCCAATTAACTTTAATTTTGTTGCCTAGTCATGCAATCATGTTCACAAAAAGAGTGACTTTCATGGTTTGAGAATTTCACTAACAAGTACAAAGCGACACCAAACCTAGATCTGAAGTATCTTATCTACTGCATACAACCATCTTACATGGATTCAATATCTGTTTGCAAATACATCAAAATGTGTAAAAGTCAACTTGAATTTTTATTTAGTTCTTCAATATAGCTGGGATAGAAATGAATGTACAAAATGTTTCTCGTAATATGAATATTCATGAGCAAGGTATTGGACTGGTATTACATACATTTACAGTTAACTGGCATTTACATTTTCTCCTACAACTTATGTAAAAATATGAAAATGCAAGCAACTAACAAAAGAACAGTGACGAATGAAATTCGCTAACAACATGCAGTTAGAAATAAAATTCAACGAAATCGCATACCAAGATTGAAAGCGAATCAATATGAATGCAGTTGCCTGAATAATGAAACCAATTATCACTTGACCAAATAATGAAATCATTGTTACCATGCTCAAAAGTCTCATTGTAGGCGGTTCAGCAGAAAGATATGGATAAGCATGTGTATATCCAACTAGTGAAGAACATTAACATAAAATGGAAAAAATTAAAACAGTCAATATGTAGATTATTTTATAATGAAAGAATAAAAGTAGATTTTTCTTGAGAAAAACACATTTCCTGTGTGCAGTCAAGCTTTCATGGTGTAAACGACATAACTGGAATTCTTTCTAATCAATGAATCAACCTTAGGGGTGATTATTAACTAATTAATATCTTCAACTATAAAGTACTGTCAGCCAACAAAAAAGTCAGAATTCTTAACGATAACGTTAAAAAGTAGGGGAATATCACCATCGTCACTGAAAAGTTACAAGTGTTCATATCAACTATTTACGCAAGATACTCCAGGTTTATTGGAAAGAGTCGATCAGAAATACTCTACTCTGGAAGAAAACAATTCATCTTCTAGTTAAGGAGCGAATCAGACACTGGAGATGAATGGGGCATAGTTTAAGAAAATCACGAAAATGAATCACAAGGTAAGACCTATTTTGGAATCCTGACTGACCAAATAATCCATGGTGTTAGTAGTTGGAGGTAGACATCAAAACAAATGACAATTAACAACTGGAAATAAGAAAAAAGTTATTCGGATATCTGTAGTTGGCACCCTGTGCTCAGGGAGGGGTAACCGGCTGTAGTGAATATGTAGGTTAGAAATTTAAATAAGCCGATTTTTTAAACCTGAACTAGTCAGAAAATAAAACGACATTTTGTAGTCACCTTAGGAACTCTTCCCAGTTAGTCTACGAAAGCACAATTAACTACTACTTATTGTTTAGAATCGTGATTGCTACTAGGTTTTGAGCCGCAATTTTACCTAAGAGATAATAATACAACTCATCTACTAAAACCACCATTGGCAATGAGATATTACGTATATAAGCAAACACAAAATGATCGTTGTTTGATGTTATATATACAGAATATATGTACATATAGAAAACCATTATATTGATAGCGAATACAATGGTTATTACCAATCAAGGTCAGAGTGTGAGAGGATGCTTTCGAAACTTAGTGCCGTAAGAATTCCTTAGAACGTAAAAGTGAAAATTTCGTATTCAAAATTACCAATTGCAGTCAAAATGAAGCACGACTGAATACTGGAACAACAAATGTTTTGCTAACGACAACTTGAGACGCATGTGAAAAATAAATAAGTGATTGTAGAACATCGGTTGATTTATTGTCAATTATTGATTGAACTGTACAAAAAATCGCTCCTTCGTCAATATATTCGTTTGTGATCACATATTCTGCACTTTACTCAACACAACAAACATGATCAGTTTGAAAATCATTCGGAATTTTTGCATTATTTGAATGTGTCAATCAATTGAAAAGAATTAAATTATCGCAATCAGATATATTTATTTGACAAAATGATTGAGGGGGTTCATCCAAAAAGCTTTGTTTTTCTTATCCAACCAGGAATTAGAAAACATTAAGAAAACAGTCTGTTATGTAATTTTTTGTAAACATCACTAAAACTAACATTGTTAAACCAAATTAGGTTGAACAACTAAAGCACAAAGGTATGGTGCCTGAAACGTTTAATAATAGTTTTATGCAAAGTCAATAAACCTATGATAAAGCCATTAACATCTAGAAGAAATTTACCACCATCTAGGTCATCGACTAATTATGGAGAGGATTGAAACGGTAATTTAAATGAATGATAAGCCTCATTATTACAAATTACATTGGGACAATATCCGAACTTTTTTAAAATGGATATACTGTAACATTTTTGTATTATTTTACACTGTCATTCTCAATGATATCGTGATTATTTACAAACTAATAAGTTGGAACAGCAACAAAATTCATGAATTTATCTTTCATCAGCATAAAAGTTAGGTTCCTCACACCACAACATAAATTGTATGCGCATATGTACAAAAAAATATTGCAAACTAAAATAAAGAATATTGTGAATATAAAAGTTTGCTTAGGAATCTATTGATATTACTAACAACAAAATATAAGGCTATTCTGAAAGATTAAAATGACGATACCTTTCAAGTATTCTTGATGTAAACTTTGTATTTCGCTCCAAATCACTTAATTTTTATAAATATTTATTAAAAACATACTTTTAATTTGAAAACACAAAATGTACATGCTGACTGGAGCTGAATCAAACTCTAGTATTAGAGAATAAAACAAATCTTTAGGCTGAAAAAGTCCATAACAATGATTAAACAACTCATCAACTGTACTTCCGGATTTAAGTCGACCTCAGAAATTTTGATAAGTTTGGTGTGTTTTCTTCACTTCTCAACACCGCTTTAACGTTTCGCATCAGCTGAGTGTTTATTTGCATGTTAAAAGTCGTTTTAGAGTGTTTCCTATAACACGAGCAAGTAAATTGAAAGGGTTCACAGGATAACATTAACTAGAAGCGCATAAATTATAGTTTCCGAAAGTGACAAACGATATCGAGAACAGAAGTGAAATCCCTTGATTTTCATCTGAAGACATACTATCTTGAATATTTTGAATATGAATTTATTTAGTATTTTACTATGTTAAGTTAGATGTAAGGATATTTTGTATTCTAGGACTTTTGAATTGATATAATTGATGAGTGCAGTCACACCAACCATTTTAGAAACTTTTTAAAATCAAGTATCCCATTTTAACTGTTGAAATTTGGACTCGAATCATGAATCAAAGAGAATTTAAAATAATTACCACCTTTGGATAATGGACACAAAATACTTAAGCCCACTGAGAATGTCTCAAGAAGCCAGGTAAAATGAAAGGGACTTATACAGTACACTAAGTCTAATAAATAACAACTCACATGTTAAGCTTAACGTCGTTATTATGACAAAATCACAGTACAGGAATTCCCATTCGGACAAATTGCTTCCGATCTGAAAGAAAAACGGAACATAATCAGAGAAAAACGGAAGTCAACGCTGTACTTCAGCATATTTTATCATATCTGATGACTTTTTAAACTCAAGTATATCCTCATTAAACGGAAAATAAGATGTCTTTAACAATTCACTGTACAAATAAATACGATATAACATTAGATCAAGATCTTGACGTAATTGAAGGTAGAAACTTAGTATTTAAAAACTTTAGGTACTGTTTCAAATCTTCCGTTTCTGAACTATAAAAAAGGATAAAAGTCAACCAACTATGAAACATCTTATTATTTCTAAAAGATGAGAAAAGGAAATTCAGCGTTGCTCTACTGTAGTTGTACGAATGAATTTATCTATTTGATTACATACGTAAAACAAAAATGAACTAAGCTAAACAAAGTAGAGAAGAAATATATTATTTTAAATGTAACCTAACTTACCGCAAAAAGTATAATTGTAGAAAATGACTGAATAAGGGAGTAACCAGCCATAAATTTGAACGTTCCAAAGCTTGTTACAAGAGCACAACGACCCTCTCTTATAAGCATAGGTACACAGCTTATATTTTGTTTCTTTGATGTAAAAGGACTAGCAATACTTGCTTCTGCTTCACTTAAGGAAATCCCAGCATGAGCTACTTTTAAAGCTCCACAATCATTTGCACCATCTCCACACATAGAAACAAAGTAACCAACTGACTGAAGAGCTTCAATCACTTGTGCTTTTTGTTCAGGAGAGAAGCGAGCAAACACTGTACCTTTCACAACCAGCTAAAATCAAACAATTATACTGGTACTTTAGAATATTATTCGGAGAGATAAACACAAACTTGGATTAACTTTAATACAGTTGTTTATTCTCTGAAGAAGTGACTTACGCTGAGTCACGAAATGTCAGAAAAAATTATTTTTCTACTCATAAGGATATTACAAATATATTAATTTATTTAAAACATAATTTCAGTTTGAATGACAGGCAAATGTTCTCTATTTAATTTAATGACCTAAGTTTCAGTTTCGGTGACTGGAAAAATGGTATCAAGACTACATGAATTTAAATTAACACAATGGCCATGTCAATGAGCTACTTGTTTCGTCATCTATTTGGAATATCACTAAGAACGAGAATCAATGCTAAAATACAATTGAATGGTCATACTTCGGTTAGTGGAACTATGAAATTACAGCTCCTTGAGTATGATTTTTTACCAACGAAAATATTTTTGAACGACTGTCAAAATGAGATCCGTGGTCAAATGCTAAGAACTAAAACCAGACGCTAAACCATTGTAGCATAAAAGACAGTGATACATAATATTAATTAGTTCTCAAAGAGAGCTTACTTTAGGTATTAGCCAAGGATAGTGCTCCTGAATAACAGACCATGTTTTCCCTGAAATTGCCAGATGGAAATCAGGTCTATCGATCATTCGAATGGAAAGTGCATAACGGTTTTCAGCAGAATCCTTGTACTTAAAAGTATCTGACTTATCTAAATGTTTGTCTAATTTATCAAACAGGCATTTTTCATAATCGATATGATTGTCTACTTTTTCAGAATCGGCGTGGTATATTGCACTATTGCCTAGCGCAGACAAACTATGAATGAAATAGATAAAGAAAACATTTAAAATTTACCATTGTAGTTATATGAAAACAAAATATTGTTACGATCTGGAAATTCCATGAAAAATACAGGCTTAATTACAAAATAAAAGAATATAGATAGGCAAAAACGGCTACAGCGTTAAGCTAGGACTAAATAAACTTTTGTGACAATATGGATTTCAGTTTTCCATCATCTAAATACTACGTTAACAAGATCTGCTTAACAACGAAGGCCGAAGAATATGAGTACTTCAAAATGCAATTACTTTCTGTTACGTTGACTGACGTTTAAAAACCATTGAACCAGAAACGTTTCTGACAACCATCTGAGAATGTGAAGTTTTAAAACAAACGGCAATAAAATTAAAAGACGGCTGTAATTGAATAGTGCAAAATATCACGTTACGGCAGTGAATGGGTTATTCATCTTGTGGAGAATCAAAACCGTAATAAAACTATCATGGATTCCAAAAATTTCAATTTCAATGGAATACATTTAGCCCTGGTGGATCGACATTTAGATGTGATACTTTTGCGAGAACGAGAAAACGTTTCATTCAAACCATTTGTGGAGTTCCCTTTGATGACTACAAGTAAAAAGCTGTGATGAATGGTTTACATATAAGTGTAGTCTCAAAGATCAGACGTTGAAGAAAGTAACTTATAAGTATTCCATAAAAGTCAGGTTAAGTAAAGAAACTACAGTGACGCTAAATATTTGGTTTCATGAACTTTGATGCGTCGATTGTTTGAGAAAACTAATTGTATCCGATACGAATTCAGTTGTGTAAAATCCGGATTTCTTCATTTAAATGAAAATTGATCCAAATAGCACTTGGTGTTTTACTTCTATCTTCCCATCGAGGTTTAAGACTGCAATTGATCAGTCTCATGTTGGCAAATGTGCAACCTATGCGGATTGTCTCGATATAGCCTTAATTCACAAGCTTTTTAAGCAAAGATCGATAGTGGCTTGCAGTAGGATCTAGGATGCCCGTTTCGTTTCATTTGGGACTCGTCGGCTGGGTGTACCTGCATCCCAGAGTTGATGTTCACTCTGGGACTCAAACCCAGTACCGTTCGCTTCAAACGCCATCGCATTATACACTTACCTACTGAGTCCTGATAGCCACATGCTTGTGTAATGGGCTGAAGTTTAAATTCACTTGGTGTTGTTTTTTTACTTGTATCTTCCCGTTGTTATTTAGGACTGCAATTGATCAGTCTCATGTTGGCATATGTGCATCCTGTGGGGATTGCCTCGATATAGCTTTAAGTCACAAGCAGGTGGCTATCAGGACTCAGTAACTAAGTGTATAACGCGATGGCGTTTGAAGCGAGTGGTACTGGGTTTGAGTCCCAGAGTGAACATCAGCTCTGGGATGCAGGTACATCCAGTTGACGAGTCGCAAATAGGACGAAGCGCGCGTCCTGTATTCCACTGCTAGCCACAACCTATCTTTGCTCAAAATGGTCCAAACGGCATTTATAAATAGAAATTATTAACTACAATGTTGTAGATAGAGTCCTATGGACGAAAATTAGATATATAAAATGTTATAACACATAACAATTCCATTATAATATATGCAGCTACAGCAAAATGACTTACTATCCATTTATACAGAATTATACAACAATCTAATACACTATACTTCACATTACTTCTCCGAGGTTACAGATAATACAACGTAACACGGAATGCTATATACATATGAATATAAATGCTATCGAAGGACTACTGAGATGTACCAGTAATGTTTAGCGATGCCCAAACAGTGATGTTTAAACTGGTAGTTGGATACAAAACTCACATGATGAACAAACTAAAGTTTGTCATCAGAAAATCAGCTCATCAAATCCTTGTCAAAAGTGTATGATTTAGCGTAGTAATCACAACCAAAATCTCTACCAATTTAGAGACTTTGGTGAAATGATTACAGTTTGACGACAACAATGCTAGCATGTTTACCACTTTTCATTCTGCAGATTATGAACAGCTCAACACTCAGTGCGAATTAATTATGTTTTTTTCATCACTTTGTTCATTCTAAATGTTGATAATTCGTGTATTAATTTAGTCGGTGTTTTGGTACTTAACGCAACGTTATTTATCAGTCGAGTACTTTTGGGTTCTTGTCAAAACTTCTTCCTATTCATAGAACCACTCTATTTTAAATTGCCTTTGATCATTAATAGCGTTAGTGCTCGCAGTATTCCTGAATCTTGTCTAACTGTTTCAAACAGAAGTTATCAAGGCTCAGTGAAATGTTTTACAAGATGTAATTATGTGATAATTCAGTTTAAACACATAGATTTTAAAATTAGCTAGAAAATGGCTGACATAATCATATTTAATTTACATTGTGAAGCACCAATTCAAATATTTTTGTTAAGACGAATAGTGACGAAATATGGACAAACTGAACAATTAAAATTGAGTTACTAATTGTTAACTTCACTCGTTTCATTTACATAATATATTCTAAACTAGAGATAATTAAGATTCATATAAACAAAATTATTTGAAATCATACAATTGTGTACTTGATTTTGTCAAATTCGAACAAGGTTCAATTGAAAAAACGTTATCATGTCCAAAGCCTGTTTTTCGGTTTATGAAATGCATGAAATGCATAAACTTATTTCAAACAAATAGACATGTCATAACATGTAGCGTTACACTGTAGGGCATCGTCAAAAACTTTCAGTACTTCTCAACAAAACTTTAAAGCACAGTTACCAATATTTTTTAAAACAGGATGTTGTAATGATTGTTGGATTTGAAGTTTCACAGTAGACACTGACTCCAGATAGACAATCATTCAAAAATAGAAAGGACTGGATAGCTCTTTTATCGTATTACGAGATTACAAAGGAGTAGTGGATGGGCACTGCTAAGATGAAACAACATATATCAGTATTCCATATACAAAATATAAATGTCAACATAGTGTGGATAATAAATAGAATGGAAATCTAGTTCCACAATATATAACAGTAAGGAACGGCATCTAAGTGAACTACTTATTTTACATCTAGTTTGACTAGTTAAATATGAATAATGTTTTCCCAAAAACATTTGGCAGATTAAGTCTTTATTTAACAGGGATGCAAGACTATGAATGCAGAATAACTATATTTAGAGCAATAATAGTACCAATGATGATTTATTCAACTCAACACTACTGACATACGCAAGTTTGAATGGTCAAAGTAAATATAAAACATTTATGTACCTAGTAAAAGCTTTTGAGGGACTTTGTAATCGACCAAAATTAAATCTTGTTTTCAATCTCTTGGAAAATGACTGTTTCGATGTCTCTCTGTTGTCACTTTTAGTTAGATTTCGCTTCATTTGAATGTTAGTTGTCGCAACTTCAGTAACCGGTCTGTGTAAGTCTTCTGCATAGTGAAACTGAACAAGGGAATTGATAAGATCATCTGAAAATTTTTATTATTTCCTGCATTGGTAGCATCCTGAATGTTGTTTGGATTCTTTTCAGTAGAAAGTCCAATATTTGGTACAGGGATTGGTTGACTTTCATTTAACACATCTGAATCAAAATCATTACCAGGACAAGGTGGTGGACGAGCTGTCACAATGACGACTCGATCTAGTTCATCAATCATTTCGCAGTCTCGTGCCACAGAAAGAGAGGTAAGCATATGATCACCTAAAAACAATATTTGAAAGAACTAATAGAAATTATGTTAAATATGTATCATTAAAATAAGTCTATATCGACAAACTATAAAAGCTTTGGATTATAACGAATATTCATAAAAGATACATGAGTACTTTTGTCGACTTTAAGCCAAAAAGCAATTATCAATCATTGAAGTAAATAGACACAGACTGGCAGAAAACTTCAACTTTTTCCACTTACTACTACTTGGGTCGCAAAACCGGTTTATACTTCTGATTGAAGTGGCAAACATTTCACAGGAAACAATTTGTGAAATTAGTTTAAAGTATCGGCCGCGTCAATTTTTAAAGGCAGTCAACAGTGTTATGTGTGAGCCGAAATTATATACAGATGACGCTACAAACTAACTTATAAACTCTTCACCTTAAAAATGATATACCTCGTTCAGACTATTATAAATATATTAGTTGGCAATGTTTCAATCTTAAGTTATTATGCTATGATGATGGAAATTAACAAGACATGAGCCAATACACTTTTACATCCTTTCACAAAGCTTCTATCTTTGTGACAACTTTATAAATATCTTTGATCTGTATCACTACTACTGTCTATTTCTATAAGACAATTTATGCCAATTTATTTATAAATTCAGATCTATTCATACTGTTATATCAACACTTCTATCCCAGAAGGATCTAACAAAATACTCTGATGTTCAAAATGTCAAGAGTTAAGAAGGCAATTATGACCTGATTGTTCTTTAGATTATTATTTTCATACTTACGGTACAAGTACGTTTGCCTGAAGGTAGTTCAGAGCATATGAAAATAAAAAGAAATAACCTGATTAACCAATATCTCTTAAACTCCCTTTTCAAAAGAATTTGTGGATCGAGGCAGTGAAGTTTCAAGCATTTACCATTAGATTCAAAGACTAAATGATGTCGTGTTCTCCAGGATGATCCGGAATAAAGGTTAATTCTAAAATAGGGCAAAATAATTCTTTAGGTCTATTGTGTTTCAGTAATTCATCAGCCAATATTATTTGGACACACATGCCTTCTTTAAATAGTAAGATTCTTAACGAATCTACTTGTTCTCATGTCGAGCAGTACAAACGAACTAGGTAAGAGTTTACCATTCCTCCAGAAATAACTTCACATGGCTGGTTATTCTGAAAGAGCCACAGAACATTCATATGTCCGTATCCCGTCACCATTATCTCCGATTGACTGCTTGCTTCCGGTGGTAAATACATACAAGTGATGATGAATTTTGGTAATGTATTCAGACCTAATCATTACAACTTGTTTGGTATCATCGCCTCGAGTTGACCGCTTGGATCTACTTTTACGAATATCGTTGCAGCAACTTCAATACCGTCCATAATTTACGGACTTTTGTACTGAGTGAATAAAAAGAAAAGAAAGTTAATAAAGTGGTATCTTTCATAGTATAGAATTCACTGACCCAAGACAGTCATATATAGCTCAGAATAAAACCTAGTACTGATTTCCTCATGGTGTTCAACTATATATCTCACAAAAGCAAGGTGCATCTTCCTAACTGAACATAATCGACCTCGGTTTTTTTCGTCATTGGACTGTATCTCTTGTTGATTTATCTATTGACTGTACGAACTCTCGCTATCTATTCCACCACAATGTTTATGTTTCCTATAGTGAAGTAGACTGTTGGTGTCCCACTCATACGTAGTTAAAATTTTATCAGCTATTTGCCTAAAATGATGCTTGGGAGCAAACACTAATGAAATCACCTGTTACCATAACCGGTCGTATATTCGCTTGGCGTAGAGTTTTAATAACCGGACCAGATTCAGGTTTCAGTCGATTTTCCATCACCAGTAGTCCCAGAAACAAAAGATTATGTTCAACTCGGTCACGCGATATGCGCATAATACGTAAATATGATGCCTTGATAGGTCGCCAAGCCAATGCCAAAACGCGAAAGCCTTCTCGAGTGAATTCCAACAAATTTGAGTGGAAATTAGTAGGTACTGCAACAGAAACGTTTATTCAACAATACTCATTATAATAAATTATAATACATGATTTTTAATAAACATTTGCTGTTACATGTTGTATGTTTAATCCATGAATTATCATTATTTGCTGCTAATAAGTGTAGGTACAGGACTACTGTAAAACAAATAATAAGTCAAATTAACTGTAATGATCATATTACAACAAGCAGATACATTTTCAAGAGATTTATTGCGATTTACTTTAGTACATGGAAAAATATTAAACGGAAATTTGAACAACCAATGCTATAAATACGCTATAATTCTCAAAACTCCAAATGAGTATATGACAGCGATTTTTAATCACACGAACCTAGAAACTACTGTAAAGTACAATAGTAAACTTATGACTTAAAAACGTAGGTATACTGAAGTGAATTTCATTGAAAGAATCAAATTATAATTCAACTTTTGTGTTATAAACATTAAAATATTCCGGTTTTAATAAAAAATGAGATCATTTAATCTATCAGAAGAATATAGTTTGGCTTAAACGTTTAGCTTACTTCCGATGGAAACAATTATTTCAATTAGACGATTATTGTGCCCTCGTAAACTGAATTACAGATTATCAGCAACAAAATACACAGCCTGATGATATTTCAGAAAATAACGTTTCATACATCGGCGGTTCAATGTGTTATCTCATGATAAGAATTTTATAAGCTGAGAACTTCCACATTTACACGTAACTCGTGTACACTTTCGAATGCGGTTGGCTTTACTTCTATATAGTTAGATTTGTCATGTGCACTTCCTTCTTAATATTTTCAAAATAAAGGAAATACAATTTGTAAAAATTATAAAATAACAATATGGGTTCATACATCAAAGTGATTATTTACTTGTATCACGTCGACACAAAACTTCTATTGTCTCTGGGGCGCCCTTTGTATATACATGAAATTGAGATTCATTTAAAGTACGTGTTATCACAGACATCCGTTGTACAGATGAACTGAAAGGAAACTGACGTACTATACCGATCTCATACGGTATCTTCTAAAAACGAAATGCATATAAATTAGTCACTAAGTTTAGATTACAGCCTATGAAAAATAACCTACAGTAAAAATTTACTTTAAGAACAAGCTACTTTTTGATTTATTTACATCTTATATTCTGAAAAATTCTATCTTCTTGAAGTCGGTCAGAAAGTCGTCCTCACTGGTGGGCCCAGTATAACTTTTCGTAGGAGGTAGAATAGTTGTTCATGCTTGCAAAGTGAATATCCAATACCTGTGAATAAATAGCGATCTTTTAAGGACGTATATCAGATTAGTCAATTATTTCAACTTAGCAGCATATTTTTTTAGTTATACGCTTCGGTAAAGATTAAAAACACACGTACTTTATTCCTATTTCATACACAGACACTTTGAATTTTTCACGGATAAATCGAGGGGAATTTCTAGTTATATATCCCTACATAGAAAGCACATGTGAAAAACACGTTTTACAAAAGAATACATAAGACAGAACTTCTACATGTTGGTTTTTGAGTAAGCAGTGAAAAACTACGTCAGCATAACAAAATTTCTGACACCCAGATAGTCCTGAAAAATAAAAGGAGTGTGGAAAATACTCCAAATGGAGAATTAGTAAAGCCTTTTCACCAATGAATAAGGAACAATTATTAAAGAAGACAGATTAACAGTATTTAGCCATATTAGTTAAAATTTTACTTGAAACTGAAACGTACTTCAAATATGTCGCCACACTCATCCTCCTTGGGACGTACTATTGCCGATATAACTAAATCAAAATTATGTTGGTCTTCCGAAATAACTTCGATAAATTCCTACAAACCAAAGATCGATAATGTGCCAGTAAATTTAAAAAACGATCTACAGCATTATGGGCATTTAAATTGCATTAATAACGTTACACATTTGCTACAAGAAATATTTACATAAGAGAAATAAAAGCAGACTAAACAATCTGTACACCTTTAAAAGGAAAAGTTAATTCAAACACTAAAAACACCTCATGATTTTGGAGCTGTATTTTTCAAATTAGTGTTAGAGATTCCCCAAGAAACGTATTCTGCTCGAATATATTTACAGAAATTTATAACCGAACTCCACCTGTAGCACTTCTAGGGCTACTACCGGTCTTAATCCTACACAAAGGAGGAGGGTTGGGATTACGGTCAGCAACCCCATCCCATAGAAAACAATATTGCTCAAAAAACGCTAACCACAATAAACAAATCAAACCATTGAAACTCTGTACTGGGAATTGAAGGAAGTATTATGACGCCTCATCGTGGAAGCCGAGATTCTTCGGTAGTCACGAGGCCGATGCTCCTTTTAACAACCACAGCAACAATTAACATAAATACACGGAATGTTCTGACAGTGTGGGAGAGCCAACCAAAGAGCTACGGAAATGAGAAGATACAAACTGACAGTGCTCGGAATAAGTGAAACCCATTGCACCCAAGAAGAACTAAGAAGAAAATGCTCCGCACACTCATTGAGTTGCTCTGATGCTGTCCAAAGAAGCACGTAAAGGACTCATTGCATGGGAACGAGAATGATGAGAGATTTGTAAATTTATGTGCATTCAACAAAATGGTTAAAGGGGTATTAATATTCCCACACAATGCTATATAGGTCATACCGGATCACACTGTAGAAAATCGGATCAGTCATGTTTGTATCGCTAAAAATGACAGCATTTAACAACAGCTGAACAACAATAGAAAACGTCAAGGCACAAGCTGAATACACTGAAGAAAACAAGCAAGTGAAGACGAGCGTTGGAGCTGACAGGCAGAAATACGTGGAAGACCTAACAACGACAGCGGAAAAAGCTGCAACGAAAGGGAATATGAAACAACTATATGACACAACGAAGAAACTGACAGGGAAACAGTAAACCGGAGAGACCAGTCGAGGACAAAAAAGGCAAGACCATCACCGAGATTCAAGTACAGAGGAAAGATGGGTAGAACACTTTGGGGAACTCTTGAATAGACCAGTTCCATGAACTCACCGGACATCGAAGCAGTACACACAGACCTTCCTATAGATGTCACTCCATCAACGATCGAGGAAATCGGGATGGCCATCAGACAAATCAACAGCGTGAAGCCTGCAATTGATCAGTCTCATGTTGGCATATGTGCATCCTGTGGGGATTGCCTCGATATAGCTTTAAGTCACAAGCAGGTGGCTATCAGGACTCAGTAACTAAGTGTATAACGCGATGGCGTTTGAAGCGAGTGGTACTGGGTTCGAGTCCCAGAGTGAACATCAGCTCTGGGATGCAGGTACATCCAGTTGACGAGTCGCAAATAGGACGAAGCGCGCGTCCTGTATTCCACTGCTAGCCACTATCGATCTTTGCTTATAAAAGCTTGTGAATTAAGTCAATATCGAGGCATACGCACAGTATGCACATATATATGCCAATAAAAGACTGATCAATTGCAGTCTTAAACCTCGATGGGAAGATACAAGCAAAAACAATACCAAGTGTATCTTGGTTATAGCTTTAGATAGAATTAAAGAAAAAAATAACAATCTTACCAGAAAATAAAACCGCAGAGTGAACCTCATAAGTGATGTTATTATCCTTGTAAACACCAAGGATGAAGTAAGGAATGGCTTATGGGTGAAAATAAACCGTACTTGACAATCATTGGTATTGCTGTACAGGCATAAATTTGTAAATAAATAGATCCGAGTAGCCCCCAACATCATCCCTTCATCTACGTAGAACATCGAGGTCACCGGCTTATACGTTTGTATTTAAACGCTGATATTTCAAGACAAATTTCTGTGGAAACTATATATCACACCTGTCAGCTGCATTCATCAAACGTAAACGCAACAAATGATTCTAAAGGCATTTATTCTAATTCCTGTAAAACCATTACATCCAACGATTGAAATACAGGAAACAAATGGAATCCAGTTATTCGAGCTTATCCATAATTATGAAAGAAGTAAAAGACTTGCTCAGTATAATTGTAGTTCTCAATAAGGTGAGAATAATAATGGCACTACAATAACTGTGATGCGTGCTACTTATATAGATATAAGTAGTATATTATGCGAGTCAGGAATGTAATGTCTGGCAGCAGAAGATGAGGGAAGAGCAAGAAAGCAAGAGCGGGAATAGAATGCAATTTGTATGAAAATGTAAGAACAATGAAGTTCGAGGCATTTTGAGACAATTGGTGGACATTTTGCAAATTAACGATTTAATATATAGTTCTCAGATTTTACTGAGATGTTCTGTAATTTTGTGTTAAGTACATTCTATTGTACCTACCCGTGTTCTTGTTCACTACATAGCTCGATAATATCGAGTGAATAATTCCAGGAATGTTCTAAGTTCAGTTACGAGATCTCGAAATCAGATCACTAGTATAGATGCAGTGACTTCTGACATAAACATTTGTAAATGTGTATTACTCAACAGTGAAATGAACGCAAATCACGTACGTATATTTGTCTCTTCAAAATATTAAGTTTATGCATAAATTACTCTAACCATTCGGAAATATAAAACCTACCCATTTGGTAGACTGGAACATTTTCACATCCAAGGGGTCACCCGATAAGACACCATCAATTCGAGTCAGTGAATGACAAGTAGCCATGCATTCAACCAAAGGTCCATAATCTAACTTTGATGGCTCAAATTCAGGCTTTCCAAGAACTCCATCTCTGTTCGGGACGACACCCCACAGATCCAACCCATCTTCAGTGAGAGTACCAGTCTAATATCACAAAAAAAGATAATCAGGAGCACTAAACAACAAACTATTCGAAGATTTAACTATTTCCTTTGAAAAACAACTAACTTTGATGTTGCTTAGTTAATTAAAAATTCAGTTAGAAATGTATTGACAGATGCAGTAACCAAAATGTTGGGATATATAGTGGATCATTCATTCACTAATGTTCCACATATTTTAAAACTTACTGTTTCAAATATAATTTTTATCGAAAGGAATAATTAGATTAAATAAATTTTTCTCCAAGAACCGTGTTTGACGCATTAATTCAAGATGAACAAAGCACTGTTTGTCATGTGAAACAGTAGGATAATTATGAACAGTGACTTTAAATGAAACGCTAAGTGCTATTTTCAAATCAATTTATCTGTATAATAAACTGTATGATATAATTTTAGCAGTGAAACAACCAACAGTACAAATATAGGGGTAATCGTTTTAAACTAAACGGATATAACAATACAGTCAATCACAATAAAACATTCACCACGTTATTCATGGATTGAAACTTTTAGTAGTGATGCCACCGACAGACAGCTAGCTAAACCATATTATGTCAACCAGTACACACGAGGTATATAAAATGCAATATTTTAAAAATAGTACAATCTCTGTAAGAAGAGATTAGTGTTCAGTGAATACATAACATTCAAATGAGAAAAATCATATCATTGTACCAGATAAACTTAGGTTTATGGATTTAAGGGAAGAAAACGAACAAAATCTTGGTATTTCAAAAATTCTGAAGCAAAACTGAAAGTATTATAAAAGTACTATTAAATAACAGTTTTATACTTTTTTAAAGGGTGTTGCATACAAAAATAACTTTATTGAAATCTATATCGCTTTATGCTTTATTCTCAAAATTCATACGTTTCTATTTGTTTATTGAGTTTCCTAGAGAATTCAGAAGTTCCAAATTTTAATACGATTTACTAACTATCCTCTTATAGTTTGACAACGCGTTTATTTTTACTTTCTGCGTAACACATCAATCATCTATGAGGTTAATACTAGACTGAAACATCAGTTGTTCGATGAAAAAATATCAAGCCACTGAAATGATTAAGATCACGCAACGTGATATTTACACATTGTACGTAAATAATTAAAATTAAATATTTATGATATTTGGAAACTTAGATAGTTAGGTATAAATTTGTATTTTAAAACAATCGAGTTCTTTGCCACACAAACATGGGAGCAAAAAATAAGTTAACGCATTCTCACCAATTCGCTCTACAACTTGATTTCTTTTCGAAAAGTCAAAGATGTACACAGAGTAGAATTCATGTGCTTTATAGAAAAGTTTGATGTTTAAAACAAAACCAACGAGTGAACGAGTATCGTTTGATAAACACTGTTCATCAGAATTTTCCCCTATCAACATATCCAATTTCAACTTCAAGTACTCTTTTACACACATGATTTTCCAAATAAGGTCACTATCCAGATGTTTTAAAATACACGTCCTTTGTGACTTTCTGCACTCATGTCAAATGATCCTAGTAAAGGCGACAAATCAATCGATGGTGTCGTGATCTATCATTAACCAATGTTCAAACTGGTAGTTGGATACAAAACCCACATGATGAACAAACTAAAGTTTGTCATCAGAAAATCAGCTCATCAAATCCTTGTCAAAAGTGTATGATTTAGCGTAGTAATCACAACCAAAATCTCTACCAATTTAGAGACTTTGGTGAAATGATTACAGTTTGACGACAACAATGCTAGCATGTTTACCACTTTTCATTCTGCAGATTATGAACAGCTCAACATTCAATAACGTCATTATGGTTGGTTGTTGATTGTTTCTCATCATTTTGTTCATTCGAAATGTCAGTAAGAAATGCGGATTATGAAATGTCAGCTAGCAAGGTTCTACTTTTATTAATTTTGTTGCTCGTTTACCACATTATGCCAGAGTGCTGTTTAGATATATGATGAATAAACTGAATCTCTGACGTGCGAAACTCTATTTCGTTCATTGTTTGACAGTTGAAGACTTTATGTCCCCACTTCTTTACAAAACAAGCCAGAAAAAGTAGACTTTTATTGGGCTACAAATGCAGAACAATAACTCATCTCCAATTACTAGCACGTATATTTTCTACTCAGTAATTTGTTTTTGCTTCATCTTAATACAATATTCCGATAACTTCGTGAAAAGAATCGATCACACTCATCATTAGAACAAATAAACGGATAAACAAAATAAAAACATTATATCTAAGAAGAATACAAAAGGTAATATACACCCACAAACCTTATCGAAACAGGTGAGATTAATTACACCACAAACATTCATAACGCTTGGATTTATACAATAAATACCGTGATTACGAAGTCGCCGTTGAGCGAAAACGATTCCAACACTCATCGCCACTGGTAGAATAGGTGGTATCACAATTGTTACTAAGTCCAAAGGTCTCAAAATAATATAGTACAACTCCTTCTTATTCCAATACTAGTTGAAATCAACATTTAAAATTTAAAAAAGATTTGCAAAATGAACCTTATAAAAAGATAAATTATAATGAGTTACTAAGTAAATCCAGTGTTTAAATGACAATCCATTTACAATAAATCCAATAATGGTACATAGATTTAGCACAAAAGGAAATAAGAATATTAATACAACATTTTGCAACTGAGATTAATTAACTTTGGAAATATTTATCAGGTTAATTTCACGATGTTTGGTTACAGATTCTAGCCGATACCGGAAAAACACATTCTCCATTTGAAGTCAAATAGCTACTTCAATACTAACTTCACTGCTACCAATGAAGAAACCGCTATGAAACTTTTAATTTTTAAAAAGTTACTCATAACAAATTATTAGATGTAAAGTAATCCATCGTGTGACATACTACAGAGAAGCCAGACAAACGTTGTACATGTAATCATTTGTATTTGTTCGTTGCTGATTTTCAGAACCGAATTCGATCGGAGTTCAATTCAGAGTGCAAACTATGGAATAAATACATATTCAATTGACAATTTCTAAGTAAAAGAAAATACGATTTCTGTATTCCGCTTCTATACACAATCCAGAACATATCAAAAATTGTACGTGTAATATAAGGCAGAATCAAATATTTATTGTTTAGTGCGTAGAATAAAACTACAGAACTGGTAGGAATATATTTCAACTTAACGAAGTTATAATATGTAGTACAATCTTTAGTTTCATATCTCCAGATCTAAGCTGGGCCAAGATGGATTTCCTGGAGTTCTAGTGACCAGTGAAGTCTAATCCGTGTCGAAGGTGAGACAGTTATCCACCTCAGACAATGGATGAAGGTTTGGGCAAGATCGATTGAAGTTAGACATTGACACCGCTGGATGCCGGCCCATTGGTCTGGAGGTCAAGCGTTCGCGCGCGAGACAGAAGGTCCTGGGTTTGAGTCCTGCAGGCGGAGTCGTAGATGCGCACTGCTGAGGAGTTCCGGACTATGACGAAACGGCCGTAGAGTGCTTCCAGGTTCGCAATGGTGGTCGAGCTTAGATCGAGTAGTGAATTCAACCACTAATATATATTTCAAAAGATATTATATTATTCATACAAGTACACTATGAAATTCCTTCTGTTAATTGGCTAAACCATAACTCAAGACCACAGTTCTGATGATAATAGTATGTGTGAAACAAGCTATTGGACCACATTACTTAATTATGCAGAGTGCATTCAGGAGTATTGAGTAACATATTTTGATAATTCGTAAAATTAATAGGATTTTTCCAATCGCATTTATTATTTATTTATATGAACACTAATATTGGTATAAAGGGTCACCAAATATATATGTGTCATACAAAAACAAACAGAATGTGACGAGATAGAGGATGTAAAGTGCGCATAAGAAAAAAGAGAAAAAAAACGAACAGAAATTTGTGTATGGGAGTGAAATAATAATGGGAGACGCCGTTCAGTTAGCAAAAGTACAACCAGAAAGAGTTCTTTTAGTTAAAGAGGTTACGTTCATTTTTCATGACGAAAGTAAAAGAAAGTTACAGCAGGATCACCACTGGCTTCTATTCTGAGCCATATCTGATAACGTCTCAAGCCACTGTGTCACGCCATCTCTAGGATCCCAACCAGCAACTCGTGAAGGACCAACAGAACCCGATCATGTCCAGCTTTCTTTCATACCACAACACCATGTCATGCGCTTACCACCTTTCCGCTTTTTCCAACCAAAACCAGCGTCGGCAAATAATGCACGACATGGAATTCTCTGGGACATGTTCAGGCCACCGAAAACGGTGTCTCAAGATAGTGGCACTAATGGAATTATCGTCGTTGTACCCGAACACAATGCCGAACCTCTGCATTACTAACATGATGTTGCCACTGGATATCAGCAATCCTTCGGAGGTAATGATGGTCAAACAGAGATTCGTCTAACATCCTCATCTCGAAGAGGCCAGGTTTCACAAGCATAGATCAAAACTGCCCTCACCAACGCGTTGTAGATCCGACCTTTTACAGCCAGACTAACATAACGAATGAGCCAAAGATGGCTCAAATTGGCATAAGCCGATTCGGCTTTCACTATTCGTGAATTGACCTCATCACTCACGCCACCACTAGCACTTATGCAGCTACCCAGATAGACGAACTTCTCGACTACTTCTACCTGCTCACTACCTAGAGTGAGTGCAGGATCAGGGTCTTGTCGGTCCTGAAAAAGTACTTTGCACTCCGAAGCTGCAAAGCACATATCATACCCACGGACACCAATTGCCAACTGACTAAGTGCGGATAGCATGGCTTAGGTATTACCGTACAGTAAGACAATATCATCCCCATACTCAATGTCGAAAAGTCTTCCTTCAAATGAGAGATCCACACCATTATCATCTACATCCATCAAAGCTGTTTCCAGAACGTCATCGATAGCAAAGTTGAAGAGGAATGGTAAGATGAGGAAACCCTGCCTAACCCCATTGTTTGAATGGAACGATATGGTTGCATGCTCTCACTCTACGTGAAGTGTTAGTATATAAGGCTTTCAAGATGTTAATAAACTTCTCAGTCACACCCTTCTCCAATAGACAATCCCAGAGAATAGTCCTGTTCAACGAAACGAAGACAGCTCTAATGTCAAGAAACACTACAAATCAAATGACAATTACTACTGGAAATATTATTTTCCAGCTGACTTTATTGTTATTATACTTTGAATTAAACTAGTAATAAAAGCGATGAGGGACTTACCATGAGATAAACAGAGACACACAGACCAACAAGTGCCACTCCACAAAGAGCTCCTAAAAACTGATAGGCATCCTGAGTAAATTTAAATTTCATAGGTTTCGGAAACATGATAGATCGCACAAGTTCTCCTTTAGTGGTCATAAATCCCGTTCGGATAACTACAGCCAAAACACGCTTATTTATATCACCACGTGTCTGAATGACAGATGTGCCACTGAAGAGAATATGTCGTGGGCATGAACGAAAATCAAATGTGGTATTTTCATATTGTCCATTGGGCAGTGGGATTTTTGTAATCGGTAGACTTTCACCTAATATCCAATAAAACATTTACGATAACCATTTAGCACATATTTTAATTGATTACTTTAAAAGAAGCTTCATGTAAGTGATTTATTTCCCTTGATGGAAAAACTAAAGCTTAAATTTCATGCATCTTTTGAGCGATAGAGAAGAGATTTAAAAATTAAATGAATCCATATTTCTAGTTTTGTATTGCCTTCAAATGACTAACAGAAAAAGAGTGTGAGCGAAATTTCGCCACCTTGGTGGTCAGTTGTATGTTTGTCAAACTGATTGGTTTCACTTATTTGGTGACTTCAAATCAGTGAATTATTCATCATATCAGATAAATTATTACTCATTTTTCCATGGTTTATTTCCAGATTACTTGTCTGGCTTTTATCCTTGCAACACAATCATGCATTTCAACTATGCCATGATTTTTTACTCCCAATAACCCTTCTTGTTTCAAGCTAATAAAACACCATATGATAAGAATGAATCAATTTAGTTCTTTACATATATTTCTTATTTCTTCGCTATAACACTTGATTATGGTAGACATTTAATGAGTCCTTATTATCTTCATTGATACGGATGGTGAGATAATAACGGAAATCTTTTTATAAATACTTATGTGATTATTTCAAACAACTAAATTACTTGTACAAACAGCCGTTCATTCAATTGCACATACAATCATATAAAGAGGATTCCAAACCCTGGAATTACAAACATTTCAACGTGCCCCCATATGAAAATTAATCAAACACAGAAGATTCTGCACAAATGTGTATAAGTGGCCACAATTTTACAAAACACAAGGAGGCCACTTAAACTAATAAGAAGAGAATAGAACTAACAAAATTTATCAAGGTTATGAGTCTAATTTGATTAAAATTTTTATTGAAGGCACCAGAAAATTAACCTGAAACACAATTCATATTTGACCGATTATTGTAAATGATTCCTCATTCTTTTGTATCAGGTATATTAGTAACAGTTTAAATACAACGTTGTTTCTCAAATTAAAGCTGTACAAATTTTATTATGATCGATGGTATGTATATAAAAAAATCACTGTAATAACCCTACCCTCATTGACGAACAATACGGCTTGATGTTCTCATACCGTACAAGTTGTGCCTATATAGCAAGTACTTTTACGGAATGTTAAGTTGCTATATACATATATAATTCATCAGGTGACCTACTCAGAGTAGCTGACGTTCATGAGAACTTAGAAATGGGTTGATGATGTTAGGATAACCTGGAATACAACAGTATAATCTACACGAAAGTGTATGAATTTTGATTGGTCGTACTATTGACCTCGAACAAAACAGCTACCTTAAATATATTAGCATCTAGTAATGCTAAAAATGATTTAAATGTATTCTTTTTTAAAAGTCATCAACTGCGCTAATTGTATTTACAAGTCACTTTTGAGTCATGTAAATCTTGAAGAATCTAATAATACGACAGTGTTAACCTGACGTTTACATTTGTCTCCTGAGTTTGATAATCAATCATTCAGAGATCATTTTAACACAAGCAAAACTGACAGAAATGTATGATCAGACGCTCCAATCAATCATTCATTCTGGTTAGTGACAGAATCAGTGTGTCAATTTAAATACTCTATTTAAGTAGAGTGAATCAGTCATCCACTAAGAAGAAATCTTCACATCCAATTGATCTAATAAAATTTTAATGAAGCTAAAAACCCTACTTTATTATAGAAAAAGAAAAAATATAAAGTGATCGTAAACGAATACTAAAATTTCTGTAGTCAGATACTTGTGTAATCCATTCGGCCTAGATTTATCAAGTTAAAACTAAACAGACAAATGAATTTTATTCAGATCATACCACGTCTCATGCGTTTACTAACAAAGGAACATAAGAGACACTATACCGATTAACTGGCATATGAGTATTTTTGTTATGTAGCCTTAAAAAGGATCGAAGATCACTCTGAAATATAAGCACAATATCGAAGGCAACTAACTCATCACCACCTGTGACTACACTTTTCCATAGATATTCAGTATAATGAACTATTTCAAAACATTCATTCCATAGAGTGAACATAAATGGTTTAATATTTCTAAATATTGTCAACATTTTGCTAAAAACTAAGGACACTGAGAGATAAAATTGAAAAGAAATACCTCAAAAGATTAGAAATAGAAAGACAAGCAATTTTTAGCAGTATTAGAAGTAGTCTTCGAGGTTAATCCATCATACCGCGGTGCTCATTCTCGCTTAAGACTAGCTCAGGCTTTTTCATGTTCATTAGATGTCGCTAAGTCGAATCTCCCATCCGGGTTATTTGTAGTCGTAACTGGAAAACAATTAAACTGTTCTTTAACGTGTTCGCGCATCATTCCAACAGTCTGAATTGAGAGTAGGTTAAGGTCTCATCTATTTTGGATGTAGTCTCACTGATAGCTGACTTTCTGAACACTGGTTTTTGATAAATCTGAAAAGTTGTCTGCTGTTACCTTTAGCCGCAGTCTTTCCCATCTCTAAATTCGCTACCCACAACCACTCATAACCAAACACAAGCCTTTTGTCAACCTGAATTTTAGTTGCTTTCGCTACTTATCGTGTTCGGACCCTAACGCGATGAGCTTTTGAGCACCTATGAGTTCAATAAATGAAACCGAAACCAACTGATATCTCTTCAACTTTTGGTATATGCCGCTCAGACATCAAGCCATCATACATAGGGCTGAACATTACTTTAATGATCGACTAACTGCTTCTCCAGTTGTTACTGTAATACACTCTTGGGTTTTCATTATCAAGTGGGTTTTTTTATGTGGCTCTTCTATGTCTAGTAACATTAAGACGAACAGGCCTTTGCAAGTGTGACCAGACTTTAGGTATGTACTCCAAGATGAGAGACAGGCTTATACAAACTCTGTCTAATGATGACTAGTGGCAATGAGGTCTATTGGGGTCCACCACTAAGTCGATTTTCGAAATTTTCAGGCTGGACGATGACTTTTATTCTGTTTAAGGTTGGTTCTCGCTAAAACTAGACAGTAGAAGCACCCGGTCTGCATTATCTGTTTGCTGAGCTGAGACACTGTAGTACACACTTAAATGTCTTTCGATACGGTTGAGATCACACAATCAGGCATTAAAATTACCGGGTACAATTACTACATCTGAGTGTCTAGCTTTTAAAGGGTTAATATCTATCAACAAAACTCATATTAATACACAATTATATGAACGAAGAGTATACTTTTCAATAATTTAAAATTGTAATATGTGAATCAAGAACTGAAGAAATGATGTACTCTGCCTCAAATCTGACCAGTCTTATGGATTTATAATTGTAGAACCTGATGAGAAATTATTGAAAAGAATATTTTCCGTTTATATGTGTTTTAATATAATCTGAATTTTTCAGCAATTGAAAACTCATATTTTACTCTGTCCGACATGCAGTCGGTGGTAGCGTAGGTAGAGACTACGAAGAGACACTGTCTTCTGTACTTGTACAAATAAACTGTGAAAACAGGCTTCTTGAAATGCCGGTCTGCTTCCCTTTTCTTGCGAAGACTATAGTAGCATTTTACCAACAAGGATGAAGCTACGTTTTAGGCTTAAAAACGAAAGAAAAACTAGAACTCAAGTGAATAAAACGATTTTAAACTTTTATGATGAAATTAAGGTCAAGGCAACTTTAAACGGATATGAAAATTACTATTTTCTAAGACCTACCTGTTAAGCTACTTTCATTCACGATGCAGTTCCCCATCAATAATACTGCATCACATTGCATCAAACATCCACTACTCGGAATGGCAATTAAATCTCCTGGTACCAATTCGGTTGAGTCGACAAGCATAAAATCTAACCGTTAGAGAACAAAAATATACATAAATCGTTTTCCCTATCCTTGTTTAGAAAAAGCAGTCGCATAATACACTATAGTTGATCGAATTAACACTTGGTGTTTCCTAGAGTCCCAGTGAAGATAGCAGGTAGCTTTTGCTTGAGGAAGTTAGCGCTTTCCAAATTAGCTAATGTTATGAAGCCAGTAACAGTACATTCACTTCTATTTCTTCAGTGAAATAAATCCAGCGTACCTTAAATAACCGGTCGCAAACACAGATGAAGACATATAAATACAGAGTTAAATTCGAATGCACATTTTGTAAGGCAAATTATCTGTTACTCTCTACATCATGTAAGCTTTTAATTATAGCACCTTTTGTTAAACACGGAAAGAACTTTACTGTAGATCAATGTCTCTGATTGCGGTGTTAGTAAAATATTTTAAAATATCAACACAATTATCTATATTGACCTGACAGGTTCTTCTTAAACTAATACGAATCTAGCAGGCAAATTCAGAACTCAGTTATTTAAGCATCTACCAGTTATTCTCACTGTTCGGAAAGCTAAGGAATCGTCATTTAAAATACATAGGACTCAAAAGTAGTAAAACTAACTTGACTAGGATTTAAAATCTAGTGGCCATAAATCTATGATTTTACCATTGATCCCATTAAGACAAATTGTTAAGCGACGAAAGTCAAGCTAGTGAACTTATTAAGTGAGAGATTGTACTAGATCACAAGACGATCGAGAAGAAACTTTGACGGCATGAATATTATAGAACCAGTGATAAAGACCCAGTGAAAGACGGGTATGAAAAGATAAATTTCTTATTACTATAGAGTTCTCCAATTTACTCTTTTCCTTTAAATTTCGTAAAAAGGACTTATTAAACAAGATACATTAAACAGTAATTAAAGCTAATAAGGTAACTCCTTCAGGAACTACTGTTAATGATAATTTTTTCAAGTATGTTAGTTTCCCAGTACTTAATTAAACTTGTGAAGTGATTCTTCTTGTACTTTAAAGGTTACAGCTATTTACTAGCATACTTTGAACCGTAAACATCTTATGATAACAAATAATAACAGAAAACATTTTTTAGCTAACGAGATCGATAGAAAATTCGGTTAAACTATGTGACCTCTAAAATTGTAGGAGTGATTCACTTGAGTAAGGTTAAAATCTAACTGCAATTATGCATAGTATTTCAGTAGAAATTAAATTCATGGAGCATTTTTCATATGTTCGGAATAGACTACTACTTCATTTCTGGTGCCAAAAACAAAATATCACGTTTTTATTTAATTTTGTCGTTAAAACATAATCGATTGAAACCCAAAATGATTGAAAACGTGAGTTGGTGGAATAGTTTATATACCATTCAATGTCTGAAAAACAAAAGCAAAAACCTTCATATCTGTATTTCTAAATTCACTGCTAAGTGAGTGAATACTTCAACTTTAATGAACCCAGCTTCACATCGGTATATTTAAACCCAATTTTAAAAAAACTTTATGCGAATTAAAGAGGAAAATATGTTCGGCTGAATGAAAGCTAAAACAATTTATCAGCTGGTCCATAGGATAGGAAAACTTGTAGAAGAATTCATTTCTAGTTTATTTAGGTTTTGCATCCAGTCTATAGTGGAGTTAGACATATTTTACTAGATCAAAAAGGTTTAAGTCGTCAAAGTGTTGAAATAATACCATATGAAACATCAAATTTGCAACCGCTCAATACGTCTCCATAGAAAGTATATCTGGCTAGACTTCATATAATCTATGAAATTATTTTTAATTGAAAGCGACAAGTAATCATTAGACTCAATAAACAAGACTTTCTTAGTAGCTAAATTTCTAAACAAAAGATGCTATTCTCTAGATAGTAAATAGAGATGTAGTTATTGGTTACTAAAACTGATAGATCCGTGAAAAATTCTATCTACCTGCATAAATGTGTAGCGTATGACAACTAACACTTCGGAACAAATAAACAATCTAGAGTTAAACACTTCGCCACCTTCAGTGGTTTGTTTAATTAAAAATAACCAAAAAACTTTAAGATCCGCAAATCAATGTACAATTTCGGCATGATTACTTTTGTGTAACTTCCCTGAATATAAGGTAATATATTTTTAAAATTCACAAACTTCTTTTTAAAATTTGCTTAGTGTAAAAATCAGAAAATTCTAAATTAGGTTCAATATTCAACCTTGTTTTGTGTATATGCATGAAATACGCACACTAGTTACCAGATTATGGTAAGATAAAGTACACTATAAGCAGATGGGTGGTGGCTAGTAATGAAATCCAGAACCCGCGTTTCGTCAGCTATATATACCTGTATCCCAAAGTTGATGTTCACTCCGGAACTCAAGCCTAGAACTGTTCGCTTCAAATGCAATCGCACTATTCACTTGGCGACTGAGTCCAGATAGACATTAGCTTGTGCAATGTGCACACTGCCTCGATATTACCTTAAGTTAAATGCATTATAAGTAGAGACAGATGGTGAGTAGCAATGGAATAAACTACAAAGCCTATCATCTCGATCAGTATACTAGGAAACATATTGTACATGCAGTGCTAGCGAAACTACCACGTGCAATAACAAAAATGTCTTTAGATTGAGAGGACATCAAACAAAGATAACGATTGTGTACCTCAAGAGTTTTAGAGAAACTAAGTCGATTACAAGTACATTAAAGATGTATTTAAATCTTGATATCAAAAATAAAATTTTGAAATTCGCTCAAACTTACCATCTTCCCCGTCACGACGTCTGCATACAGTAACTTTAGACGAAATGCATACAGTTTTCTTTAAAGCTCGTTCATTCTAAGTTATTGGATAAAGAATAAATTGATGCTAATTTCTAAACATATCCATTTAACGAGTTTAATAATCAAAACCAGTTGACGTAAAAATGTGTTTCGTATTGTAACTCTGCAGAACCATTAATCTCAAAGTCCTGATTAAAAGTTTTATTGAGTTAGAAACGTTCGGTGACAGTTTCCTCATTCAGAAAATAATTGTCCAGTGTTACATTACACAAATCAATCGGATGTCGGTACAAATTCAGTTTACAAAAATGTAAGTGGCATGATTGTCATCTGAACTTAGTTTTGGCCACTTGACATAGATAAGTGGTTGTTGCATCAATTTAATGTTAAAAGATGCACGGGAAAATTTCCAAAATAAGCATGAACTATTTACATAGCTAACTAGTATTAATTACCGATCATTACATAAATAATCATTTTTATCTATTATTTGAGTCTTGTTTAGTTGACTCCTAAAACCGACAACCAATTTATTGCATGTGATGAATTCAAAAACCAATAGAATTAGGTGCTGCTAATGTTAGCAAACAGTCAATAACAAGATGAATTACTAGTTTAATTGAATGGAATATGGCTGCAAAGGCTAACTTAATGACATGAAGGGAGTCTTCAGATGCCCTTGACTCAACTTCAGGTTAAAAGAACTATATAAACTAATACACCGATTTGATTGAACCCGGAAATGACAAATGAGAATGGAAATACGATAAGATTAATATAACTGGTTAAGTGTCTTGAGTGGCTTACGAAATTGAAGGAATTAATTTTAGTCTACATTTTAACAGAAGTTACATGTGAAATGAAAAAATTAAAATTCCATAAACTAAATTTTACGTATGGATTGGTTTATTTGATAAAATGTAAGAACTACTGATATTCTTTGAAAATGCACGACGTACAATAATTTAGTCTTCTTAAAAGTAACACGATTATGAAACGGGGTTAAAATAATGAAAGATCAAGTACATCCGAGTTTTTCATATATATATGTAGTTTCCTAGGATCATGGCAACAGTCAGCACCACTAAGAGACTTTTTCACAGGTGTGTCGGTTTACTGAAACTATCTTTTTAGAATCCCCTAGCTAGGCTATACATGTGTTGTCCATAAAAATGGACTTCGTGTCAGGAAACATGAGCTATCGTGCAATAACGTAGCTAAAACGAAAAGTCGAAATCTGGAACAACGTAAGTGACCTGAGTATATACTTCAGCAGTTAGTCCTAGACAGTATGGAACCTGTTACAAAGGTATATTGATCCACGTCACAACACCCAGCACTGGCAAGTAAGAAATAATAATTAACGAAGAGAGAAACAAAAGAGCCAAAATAATTTTGGTTGCAGTAGTAAAGAAAACATAAAATATCAATCCAAAAGAAACGAATTTCATAAAAAAATGGGAAGCGTGCAGGCCAAAAGTTAATTGAGGTAAAGAATAAATGTAGACGAGATACTGTGATCTTCAAATATTATAACTCTTGTATCGATAGGTCTGCAACTACAGGCGCTGCTCATTCCAGATATTAAAAATTGATTTGCGCAGTCCTTCCGGTCTTTCGTTAAACTAACCTAATGCGCGTTGAGGTAGGAGTAGCTGGTTATGAGTACGATGAAGTTAACGTTAAACTATGAGATCTTATAGGAATTAGGGATCTTTTTACCCTCTCTTTTACAATCTAATTGAAGTTACCTCTCCGCATAGACCAGAAACAGTTAACTCTTAGTTTACGGCGTTCTACAGATTTGTTTGGGTTGCTACATTATTTCTACTTATCTGTTTATGTCTACATCGAGATAATTACATTATTTATAATTTGCCTTTGTATATTTTCAAAAATGTCAATTCAGTAAGCTATAGAATTTCTTATAGCCTAATGTTCTAAATGATCGAATGTTCACCGATGAGCCCCAGCACAGGAAACCGCAACAGCTAGTTTAGCTGTAAATTCCACATGCTTTAACCGCCTCTCGTACATTAGGTTTAGCCTCAAACGAAGTAAAACTTTGCTTTAATCAAATGAGTTCTATGTATTTTAACCAACAGGTAAGCCCTGTTTTTTTGCCTTATGTGATATCGTAACAATATATAACAAGGACACTGAACAATTTGAAAACAATGTTTTTGATTAGTAAAACCACATTTAAGTAATATAACCCTGATTTGGTTAGCTTGGTATTTTTGTGGTGAAAATATTGAATGCGACATGAGTAAACTTCCTTACCTTACGAAGCTCGTAAACCTGAAAAATAAGTGATGTTACAGAGAACACAGCAATACACGTTGCATATATTTCGTACTCGACACAAAACCATATTACACAGCTGAACACTTGAAAGCAGTGAAACGGGGTGAGACACTGGAATGAAAGTAAAACAAGTTGACTGGATTAAATGACCACAAGTTTACAAAGATGATGTTCTAGAAATAAATTCTACCAGAAAACCCTAAACGCTAGTTAAGTTCCGTCTAACATACTATATTTGTAGAGCATACAAGAGCTGGGTACGCGAATCACTGTAAGCAAACGACCTCAAGTTACCAGTTTGTCTCACGGACAAGTCTCTTTGATATGTTTTTCTAGATTTTGTGTGTACGAATCTGGTTTGTTCATAAATGAACAGATGCTTGTACATACTTAATACCAAAAATGTAATTTTGTAATTAGCTGTATGAAGTAACCCCATGAACATAAGACTTGTTCGATATTATTTTGGTTTGTATACTGCTTGGTTATTGAAAAGTTGTGTATTCATATGTATATTAGTTAAGATTTACATCTTGACGGCTTTTTTTATACACTAACAGCCACAAATGTGTTTTGTAGATTAGAAATATACACAGATGTCTTCTTAAGATGATATTTATGAAGTATTCATTTTAAGTTGATACCAGATTCAGGATAATTTATCACTTATTTTTTATCTACTATAAAAACAAAAAAAAACACAAATTTGTACTAAAATCATTAACGTACTCCATTCAAAACAAGCCTCATTATCGGTGTAAGACTGACATCTATCTTATTAATTCCATACAAGTTTCGACGAGTTTCAATTAGATCCGTAGTTAAGGTGGGTGCATTTAATACTTCATCGTAAGGACGCTCATCCCAGTTTCTAAAGAAAATTTAACAATATTTCAGGAGAATTCAACTAGTTGTATAAAGCAAAACGAGGTATAATTTATTTCTTGAAAGTGTACATAATCATAGTTTGATTGTATCATCAAAACTAAACCCTGTGATTTCAAACAAAAAAAACTATGTGCAAATAAGTGTGATTCCCAAGTAGTGATATGTACTCTGTTCAACTCATGCGTTATCTAGTAAAACTACAAGACGAAACGTTTGGAAAGGCGACTAAAGTACTTTTAGTACACAAATATCCTACACATATGTAAGTGGAAGAACGTCAAGCACGATTTTACCTCACAAAACACTAACAGTACCATTAATTCGACACTATAGAGACTTTGACATGTAATATTAGTTACAAAGTAGTCTACTTGCTTTAGAAATATAAATTTTACATATTTCGGTTTATAAAAGCACTGTACTCACTGTAGTAGCTCGAAATTTTCAGACTCAAAGTTCCAGATGTACTTTAGCTTTTTATGTATGATATATGGGCGTTCAGTTTGGTTTTCAGGAAAACCGTCCGTTGTTGAATTGTTATATTGTGACCTTGATTAAAAAGAATAAAGATTCATTTTACTTATCACACAGCCCATAATTTGCAACAGTAATATCAATCAAGTAGTAACTTAACCTTGACTTTCCTCGTGTAGGATATTGAACTTTATGGATGTAGATACCAGAAATATCCTATTAAAATTAAGAGAACATTTTGAAGATAAAAGTACCCAAACCTTTATCATGACTTTGTTCGCCTCGTTGAGATCACAGACTTTATGTGTACACCATAGCATCCAATGAGGAAACCAGTGAAACAGTAACCGTAGAAGTCCACCACTCAGGATACAACCAATAATCACACAGATGTATCGTACATACGAGAATTTGTAACCTTCTATATCCTTTAAAGAGAAAATAAATATACTGCTTAAAACTTGCTGAGGTTGATCCTTCGCATGATATTTTATGTGAGCTTGACTTCTTGATACTTCCACAGCGCGAGAACATCACACCAACCCAGCGCAGTAACATAAAGAACTTTCAAATCCCTCCGATTTTCAGCGAGTGAAACAAAACATACAATATCTAACATTACGTTGACAATGTTATTGTGGCATATCAACGATTTAAAAAGCTTTTGCACTCAATTGTGAAATGCAAAGTGGTAAAATCATTTTATTCACACTGACTGATATACATTGTTTTGGTCACGAACTGATCGTAACTAAACTACCACTGTAGACCTTGAAGATATTTAAGAACGTTTCCGCTAGGCTTAAAGACTCCTCAGAAGTGCGTACACAGTCTGACACCCAAGAGTCGAACCCAAGATGTGAATAAAGTGAATTTTCCAACGTTCTGAAATATTAGATTTATGTTGCTACATATTAAAGCTTATGTTTAACGCTTTTATTGATATTTGGTTTCGTGAAATACTCTTGACATGTCTTTGGCTGAGTGTATCTTATTTCGTCAATGTGTATCTGTGTATCCATACTTACCGTTCTTCCGTTTCTGTCCCTACAGTTAGACTCACTTACTTTTTGACGTTCAGTTGACTTAACTATTGTTAAAAGTACCTTTCTCGAACATTTTTATATAGTAGTACATAAAACCAAGTGAACAGGTCTCGAGTTGAAAGCGAAGCCAAAATACAGAGAAACTTAAGGTTATTACTCTGAATTAATGTGAAAAAGGGATGTTAAATTACTTAACAAATGCAAAATCTTACTCCAGATTCTATTATCCAGCCATATTGATCACCTAGGGATTTAGCTGTGGAGAAGAGTGCTCTCAACGATTTGGAAACTTAGAAACAAAATAATGAAACAAACCTCTGGTCTAAATGTTTTTGTTTAGCTGTATCTTGGATGTCAACGCTTCTGCAGCCTGTATGGTTAGAACGAATGATTCATAAAACGCTCTTAAAACGCAACGTCCAGGTTAAGCCTAATGATGGAATAATTAAGTTTTGACATATTTCTTGCCACAGAAATGTGTCACATCATATGTGTAATTCGTTCTCCAGTTACATCAGTCAACATCTGCATACGCACAAGGAGCAAAGCCAACTGTTTTCTCATGTTCAGGATTCCAATGTGTCACCCGTTATTTTGATAGAGCATATATTTCCCAGCAGCACACTAATATGCGGTGAGCACTTGTAAAGTGTGTTGCAACATAAAACAAATTTATTTAGAATATAGATCGTCGTTGTCAGACCTTGCTTTCACCCACCACTTTGACGATATTGTCGATATTCATTACCTAACTCTACCTCTGAACAGTGATCAAAGTGGATTGTACGTAAGGTCTCAGACGGAGTAAATATTTTTCTACTGCACGCGTGCGAATACTCAGCGATCTTAATTTCCGACAATCATAGATTGTGGTATCTCAACAGATTAGTCGAAACCGAAAACATTTTCAAAGTTCACTCTCAACAACGGATCACGTATCACTCGATTGTGAATACCGAACTATCCGAAACAGATGTAGGAAGATCCTATCTAGAAGCCGCAAAACTGACGAAGGGCGGCTGTCATATGAGTGCCGTGTTTTTCCAAAACTTGTTACGCACAATGAGCAACGAGTCTTTTCATTGCTGAATTTCATATACCTAAAGCAGAGATGTCATCACATTATTTTAGCAAAGTCTGCACAATACGCTTTTTTTTCAATGCTTCACATAAGCTAACTATTGAGGTCCCAGTCATAAGTTTAGTGCTGTGCAACGATTATTACTTATTGAGAATAATAAGCCACCGAACCCCGACCGAATAAATTCACGGCTGCCGTCAATCCACGTTGGGCCTGTCTGTACCTGTTTTAAGGGATTTGTGTCACCACTGAAGTGGGACTGTAACAATATTGTGGCTTTCTAGATATGAGGTGACGTAGATCTTGAATAGTGTAAGAAACAAATCGAGAGTTAGCATGAGCAGTTAACTTTGGATTATGTTAAGAGCAAACCAGGCTCTGGCTAAACCTCTCTATTAGTTGTTACTTCAGTTCAAGTATCCTGTTTGCAGCCGACCTGAGTAGCATCCAACCGGGGTTTTAAGAGCATTACAGGTGTAGTGCAGCAGGTCAAGAGTGCAATTGCCCACAAAATTTTGGCACCATAAGTTCAATTATGAACTATTTTTCTTTCAGATTGACTGGTCGATATGTTAGCAAACCCCAACAACTGGCTCGTAGCCTTCTACATTTATATCAAGAGTAAATTTTATGCTCACTTAAGTGACAATGAAAGATATTTTGCTTAGTGCGGCTTGAAGGATTGTATAGTGGAATCAAATGAGAACCAATTTTTTAAGCTCATTTGTCGTCCTAATATACTGTAAACTCAACGATAACTGCCAAGCCGCTTGAGCAGTTCAGCATTACTTTGAGAATTCAATATCAGGTGTCTTCTCAAATAGTCTACAGATCAGAAACCTTTGGATAAGATACGGACCCCAACTGACACCAAAAACCATAACGACATGACTAATCCCAGCTGTTCGTTCACTAATGTACTAAAATGTGAGTCGTGTAACAACACACATCCAACTAAACCTATACACTTGAAAATTTCTCCTCCTAAAGATATTCCACAAGTAGACTTGAATGAACCTAAGTTCATCTCACAGAGACAACGAAAGACTCCAGCTCTGAAAATAAAGAGTGGGAAGACAAAACTCATGATACCGAATAGGGAAACACGTAAGATTGAACCCAACTGCTCTATAGGTATCCCAAGAACAGTGAACAGGTTCTCCTCCCTGCTATCGTATAGTTTGCCTTCAACACCTCTAAGTTGCAAAATGGTTGGTGGGCTTCAGCGTAGCAATCCTTCTTACATGCAGACTAACGAAAACTACCAGAGAACTGGCCACCCAAATCACCCCCGAAGCCTCCCATGTATAACAACAGTCGCAACTCCTCCCAGTTACGCGTAGCAGACCCCTCTCACGCTAACCTAAATAGCCATAACAGGGGCTACGAGTCTAACCATCAAGACTATTTTGTAAATAACCATACACTTCACAGTAGGCCTGTACAAGATTTTTTTGGAATAAGACCCCTAGTGACACCTCTGTTGAAGCATATAGCCCAGGTTATTTCAAACCACATGCAAACCATAAATTTGTTTCCTCCGTACAGTTTCCATCAGAGAGTACTCCCACCCTTTCCTCCTGGGTAAACTCCCCAATCAACTTCACTAGCTCATTTGATACATCTCCCAATAAGTCTAGCTATCAAAATACCGAGCTAATGAAGAACATCCAATCCCTCACATCAAACTCATCTCATACGCGCGAGGGTTACGACGATTTTATCCGAGATACCCTCACCCATTTTAACTTAGTAGGCCACTGCTTAATATATGTCTTATCAACGCTCGATCGATCTGCAACAAAAAGACGGATTTAGCCCTGTTTGTATCCATATATCAACCATCAGTTATTATGATATCTGAAGCATGGACTAACAGTAATATTTCCGACCGAAGTATATCTCTTGATAACTATTCCCTATATAGAAGCGATAGATTGAATGGACGAGGCGGAGGATGCCTTATTTACGCTCACTCTAGCCTAAACTCACTGCTATGTGATATGCCTGAACTAAACAAACTGAAGGATTCGGTGTGGATTGTATTAAAGCCGTCGAATTCCGTTACCTTACTGCTCGGCTGTGTTTATCGTCAACCTAACGCATCAATAGATGAAATAGCAGTATTATCGGAGGTATTCACACTAGCATCATCCCTCTCATTCACAGGCAAGCTCATTTGTGGTGACTTCAATATGCCCGAAATTTCTTGGCTGCCAGTCAAAGCGCCGAGACGTTATGAATCATTTATTGAATGTCTAGAGCTTGGACAATGGACTCAGTATGTCGATAGCCCTACCAGACATCAAAACATCTTAGACTTAGTCTTTACCAGTGGCCTCATCCCCAATACTTTGTATATTGGAAAAAAGTTCCCAGGTAGTGATCATAACATTGTCATATGCAGCCTTAATGTAAAAACCACAACCGATAGAAGTAAAACCGTAACACTTCGTAGAAACTATCGCAAGGTTGATTGGAATAACTTCCACAATTACCTAAGAAGCACTGATTGGAGAACTTTCTTTACCTCAAACAATACCGACACATTAACCAATATATTTTATCACAACATCAAAAGTATCATCAACAACATCGCACCTTTAGAATACTGTAAACCTACGTTCTCCAAAGATCTCTATATACCGGTCAGTACAAGAAGACGTCTTCAAAGACATTGTACTCGATTCCACAACTTAAATGACTTTTCCTCTTTAGTAACGATGACAGAAATACTTGTCCGAACAGAGGCAATAAGTAAACAAAAAGCAGTAGCACAGGAAAAACGTGCAGTTGAACTTAATAATAACTCCTCTGCACTCACCATACTACTCCAAAATAAACTTAAACGCTCTAAATCGAGAGGGAGTATATTCATTAAAGGCAAACAAGTATACGAAGATCCCAAACTTATCACAGAATTATTTAGTGAACATTTTTGTTTCTCACTAACTAACGAAAAACCATTTAATGATTCAGAACCAATCCCAGTAACTCCCTGTGAAATTACTAATGTAGAATTCAGTGTACAAAATATCTCCAAGGCAATCAGTACATTGAAACACTCCTACACTGATGGACCAGATGGTATTCCATCTAGCATGCTAAAACGTGGAGGTGATGATATGTGTGTTTTGCTTCTCAAACTATTCGCGATATCACTCTCTTCAGCGTGTTACCCTACTGCCTGGAAAACTACACATATCATTCCCAAAATTAAAACAGGACCTGAAGCAAACGTTGAAAATTACCGGCCTATAAACATAACTTCAGTGGTATCCAGAGTGATGGAAAAAGTAGTTAAGGCGGCTGTAGTCCAACATCTACTAACTAATAATCTCATCTCGACCTCCCAGCATGGATTTCTTAGGTCCAGATCATGCGATACATGCCTAGTAGACTACCTGAATGATATAACTCTGAAACGAGAC